GGCAGTTCAGAGATGATGGGAGATAAAATCTGCGTAACGCCGGTCGTCATCATGGTGGAAGAACTGTGAAGGACAATGGGCAACAGGAACTTGACAGCAGTCAATACCTTGTCACCGAGCACACCAGCCACATCCCGTAACAGTTTTAATGTGAGTCTATGTCAGACCTCCAATCTGTCGGACCCCCCAGACCCAACAGAAAAAATATATAGGAGCCCAACTGAAGTCTAGAATGATATGGCAAATCTAGATTGCCTCAGCTCTGAATTAAGATTTGTTCTAGGCTCTGGATTTTTTAATTTTCTTATTTTGTAGATATTTTTTTCTTAATACGATAAGTTTATTTCTGGAACTATATGTCAGTCTACCAACTCCCTTGTGGTAGCCCGGGTGATCCCTGTTAAGTGGTATTCCAGATGCCGCAATGCAGTACGCTGGGTGCCATGAAATGTTTATCCGGTACGCGGATGCCAATATGTCAAAGTTGAAATTGAATTTTCGTCTTTTTTTCTTGCACAGAGTGACAATTGAATAACATATTTAGCCCTACGCTTATGAGAAGGCAGTGTCATGCATTCTATGTGAAAATCCCAGCCTAATTTACTTGTACCAGCTGTGTACACTGACATTACTCAAGAGTGCCAAGGAAAATTAAGTGGTTGCATAATGGCTAGACAAGTGGTTGGCGGTGGTGGTTCTATGGCGTGTAGGGGCTGGGAGATTGAGGGAACGTCCTCAACCCTTTTTAATACCGCGTTAATCCGGGGTGTACCGTTCCGAATGAAGGCTCGGTGACTTAGTGGATTCAGTTCGTTTTAAGTTTCTATTATTTAACCAGTGAAGATCCGGGTAAGAATAGGTCTTCAGAAACCCATGCTTGCCCTTAAAGGCGACTATGCTTGGCGTAAGAAGAGACTAACGGGATCGAGTGGTCAGGCTCGCTGACTTGATTAATGCATGTCATCGTATCCCAATTGCGTGGATCGATGCTCATGATGTCAATCACTGGATTGTCTGTTCCAGACACGATTATTTTACTGACCGCCGTCATATAGCTGAGTGCGGCGTTAAACAACAAACAAACAAAATTATAAGGAGGTCGAGGGGTAGGACCCTACTGAAGAGTACAAACTAGTCCAAAATAAAGGAACTATGCCAGGCATGATTATTATAATATTTTTTATTTGCGGCTAGATTTTGATGCTCTGCATCACCAATTCCTTGAGCAGTGATTGCTGTGAGTAAGTTATCTGTTTAATCTGCAACACACTTTGACACAGCGAACACAGAGATGAGGCAATATCATTAGTGACTTGCATGCTCTTCTTTCTCCCAGAATATGTATAGCTACATTGGATATAGGATATTTATAAATATAACAGCGAAAAGAGTAGGTGTGTGATTGAGAACGTGAGTGAGTGACTGAGTGTGTGAAAGGCTGAGTGAGTTTACTACGCTTCTAGGACTATCCCAACAATACCACGACGATGTACAAAACAATGAGCTTCACACATCGGCGGAATGTGGGGATAGAACTGTGTATTGGCATCTTCCCGAGGCAAGAGAGCTAACTGACTACAAAACTCAGTTAACTCACTCCTCGGGAAGATGGTTTCCACAGTTAGCTCACTTGCCTTGGGAAGATGATGTATTGGTTACCGAACGCTTGAACCGCTAGGCTACCCTACCACCCCATTAATGAAGTAACTGAAGGGTGAGAAGATGCACTGCTAAAACTGGAAGGGGTGTCTGTAATGATGACCTATCTGTACTCGGTGTGTAGATTCTCACGTGCGCCGGTGCCTGGTATGTGTTGTGAAAGGATACATGTTCCAGTGCGAGTCAAAGGCCAGGATTCTGTTATCCTTACATGCGGCTTACAGAAACGCATGTGGTGTATTGTCAATAACCTCACATTATGCATGCGTAATTAACACACGTTAACAGACAGCGTGGCCAGACAGTCATGCCATGTTTGCTGATTGGAACATGTATTGTCAACATATTATATGTATGTTATTTTTACTTCGGTATAGGGGGCACGGGTGGCCCAGTCGTCTAAGGCGCCGCGTTGATTGTGGGTTCGAATCCCGGTTCGCCCGGATTATGTTTCTAGGTTTGTCAGCACCATACCCGTGCTCGTGGGTTTCACCGAAGTGGTAAACGTCTGAGACCTACGTCACTTCGGGCTTTCCTCCCACATTAAGCTGACACGCCGCGATATAACTGGAATACTGTTAAAAGCGGCGTTAAACCCAACTCACACACTCACTCACTTGCTTCTGGTATTGGGTACCAGACATCTGACAAGGTTAGTCCGTTGGTTAATTGTCTCCGTAGTTTTAAATATAGCTTATTTGGGAAATTAATACTGTCTGTGTACATGTTTATATTGCCTTTTTTCAATTAATGTCAACACATATGGGACAACTGCGCTGTTCACCAGAAATCTATATTAGAATATCATACACTAACAGTTCTAACATAGAAACGGAGATAATGCCTCTTTATGAAAGAAGGTAATAGGTAGGTAGGTATGTAATATCTTTTATAGAATAATACTGAAAGAAAGCCCAGGTTACTTACCCGTCACATGAAAATACAGTCTACTATCTAATTAACCCGTGAAGATCCGGTATAGAATACATGTAGGTCTTCACCAACCCAAGCTTGCCGTAAAAGGCGACTATGCTTGTCATGAGAAGCGACTAACGGAATCTGGTGGTCGGGCTCGCTGACTTGGTTGATGCATGTCATTGTATCCCAATTGCGTGTACCAATGCTCGTGATGTCAATCACTGGATTGTCTGGTCCAGACTCGATTATTTACAGGCCGCCGTCATAGAGCTGGATTATTGCTAAGTGCGGCGTTAAACAACAAACAAACAAAAACAAACATTATCTACGTATATGCCCAATTTATTACATTGTTGAGTGTAAACAATGTTATTTTGTGAAAGGGTGTGATGTTAAATCTATACTCTATGGAAATCTTTAATTATCATTCAAAGCCATCGCATAATGATATAATCAGTTCACTGCCTTGTTGAAACCAGCTGATTCAGAGAGTAATTATAGGATAATTCTAAGCACCTGATATGGGTATTTTTAATATGGATGGCAATATTGACATTGGTCTTGTGATATTTTTTTCCGTTGTTTATACGAACCCCTTGAGTATCGGATTATGTTGTGTCCGTGTATATGGATACCTGTTTCACCATAACTTGTAAACCTTTATAACTTTCCTAACTAGCAGTTTTAACCTAAAATACACTGACACGCCGAAACATAACTGAAGTATACAAATCAGCGTTAAACCTGACTGACCCGCTTACCTCAATTATAATTCATCATATAGGTCATTCACTTGTTCCCAGAAATCACAAAACTGTGCATTTTACGACAAAATAATTATTTTGTTGTTTAACAAATATACATACCACCATTAACACGAACACATTGCTAATCCCGTGACAATTACTACAGACACAATCTATTTACTTTCGTCAGCAATATAATTTGGTGAGGACACTTCCGTCATGCGTGACCGCATATTTCTATATTTCAATTTTAACGAACGATGGCTATCCTGATTTGTCTTTTTGAATATGATACATCGATATACTTGGTCGTGAGTCGTCTGTCTAGTAGCATCACGTGACAAATACCTCCCACTGGGTATAATGAGCACCTGGCATGAAACCACATCCGGGTCCCCAGCTGGCAACACACGTAATCACGCTGACATCTGTCATTACCTAATTCACAATCCAATAGATACTGTGTCCGTGTTTTTACTCCCCATGAATTCAAATACAGCCTTATTAATGATGTCTTAGTAATTGTTTTGAATTGTAAATATTTGACAGAATAGCTAATACTTTAAAGCGATATTGCGTTTGTTTACATAAAATAAACTGCCGGGCAAATAAAAGAAAACACTTGAAAACTGGATGTGACCACAAAATTACACACGTTTTAAAAACGTTACTTGGCTGAAAACAGTTGCCGAAACACTGCAAACTTGGAGTCCCAAACACAAAACTATGGTATCTGTATGAAATACATCAGCATTAAATAACCATTTCGTGTTTGTTTCGTTTTTAGCCACATTCCAACATGGATGTATATTTTCAAGAACGACATGGTGTGTGGCATACGACTCATCACATCCAAATGTACACCGTCTAAAACGACACAACCTTTTAGTTACAAATGGTCAAGTTCATTGTTGTATTGACTTTATAATATGACACAATAAAGATTCCCTCGGTTGAAACAATATCAACAAACTGGATGTGCACGTGCAATAGCTGTCCACTTCCATTCACTCAATGTCAGAAGTATATATGAAGTCAAGGACGATCTATTCCTTTTCATTCACCGCCATTATTTACCAGGGAACGTATGTGAATTTACATACATTTTTAAGAAGAGCTTTATTTATGAAGGACAAAAGAGGGTTGAACGTAATCATGACAATATGCATTCTGGTGACACTACACTCTCAGATGATTCTACAGGGCTCCAGATAATATTTTCAGCAGAATTGAGTATTTACTTATAGGCTATCATTCAAATTGGGTATTGATAGTTTTTCTGGGTATTCACTTTATTATTACTCCCATGAGTCCAGTCTATTGGGTATTTTTACACCGATTAGTAGACATGTTTTGTACTAATGATTGTTTTTCATTTTCCTAAAACAAATAACCCTGTTCTCTGAATGTTTAAATTAATACCTAAGTCAAAGAATTAGTAAAATTCCATTAAGAAATGCCAAACTCCTGATTTATTATTCAATCAACAGAAAAAAAAATCAGCATGCAATAGGTGCTATGAGAATACCTGAAATTCGATACACAATAAAATGTTAATATCTACTTGAGAGTGTCGGGTTACGAACACCCTCCGCTAGCAGATGTGTAACATATCAAATTACCGTTACCATATTTGGAAAATGTCCCGTCAAGAGGACACATTAGAGTTATGCCCCCTTATGGGTGACATTATTTTAATGTCTGAAAAGTTATACATCATTCACAAGGTAGTAATAGTGTAGTGAAATCACACTGACTGAGGCTTTCCACCCGATTTATATTTTGCTGAGAATCATTGAGTGGCTGAGATTTTTCTGGAATATTCTAAGAATAGTTATAAGAACTCTCTCAGCGGAAAGATCGGAAAACATTTACTTCCGCTTAAAGAACACAGGTGCTCGTGGGCAGGTCTGAATGCAGTTACTAGAGGTAAGGTTATGATTTATTACATTGTGTATGGTGGATATTCGATCTATATGTCCATTTTAATATGCGAGACACGAGTTTTCACCGATGATACACGTTTGATGTAGGCTACAGTTGTAACAATTACTGAATTAGGCGGTGAGTCCTATCATTCAGTGTTAACTCGACAGGATCATGTCATCTTCCACTCCCCAGGTTTCAGTAGAAACTCTTTCATTTATGTTGAATAGTCCATATCTACATATTCGCTAATTATAGTGTGAGAAGAGCAAATACCTTTTTGTCGTTGCTAAAATATTTCTCGATCAATTGATATGACAGGAGTGTCAGAAATCCATTATCCTATGTATGTGTTGTTTCTTAAAAAATTACAAGTGCTTGTGGGGATGAGTGGCAATGATCATGATTACCATAATAAACGTCTCTAGATGCTCACAATAACTTGATCTGACCCAAAAACTTACATGTAATTTATTATGGCCCACTCGTTTATTTATTCAGCATCTGTGTATTTAAAAGTCTCGTAAATACGATATATGAGCAAAATATAATATGTCGTGAAATCTGAAAATTAATTCCTCTATTCATGATATCCGTATGTATACTCTAGCAGGAAGCATGGTCAAAATATTGGTTGTATGATGTTTATATATCATGACATTTAAGTATTTGTGTGCAAATACATGCAGAGGTGGCAACCACAGCTAAACCTATGAACCTGATGAAATAGTTGGTACACCTCAGAACAGAATGTGTTTGGAAATTGTGAAGTTATTGCCAGGTTTCCTGTAAACATGACAGGTAGTATACACTATTTAAACAGTTCAGTAGCTGTTACTTCGTTGAGGTATATCGATGCGAAACCACAAACAAAAGCATTTTACATGTTAATAAGGACCTACAAGGACTTACTACCTGTACAACACTATAGTTAATATGGTTACTGTTCATCTAGGGTCAGGGACACGGGTGGTACAGTTGTCTAAGGCACTGGAATTCGCTGTGCAGAGTTGCATCCCTTTGACTGCCAGAAACCTATGATTGTGGTTATGAATCCAGATTCACCACGATTAGGTTTTTTAGGTTTGTCAGCACCATACCCATGCTCGTACGTTTAACCAAGTGGAAAACATCTGAGACCTGCATCACATGGGGCTTTCCTCCCACATTAAGTTGACATGCCATGATATAACTGGAATACTGTTCAAAACGGTGTTAGACCCAACTCACTCATCCAGAATCATTATAACTACTAACTGAACCATTGAACATGTTTGGAATTATGCATTTTATTTGTATGTTGCCTAGGGGGCGGTCGGGTAGCCTAGTGGTTAAAGCGTTCGCTCGTCACGCCGAAGACCCGGGTTCGATTCCCGACATGGGTACAATGTGTGAAGCCCATTTCTGGTGTCCCCCGCCGTGATATTGCTGGAATATTGCTAAAAGCGGCGTGAAACCATACTCACTCACTCACTCACTGTATGTTGCCTAGATGGCTGACTCCAAAACATTGAAAGAAGAAGGAAACCAACTTTTCAAGGATGGCAATATTGACAAGGCTTTAGCCTGCTATACACAAGCTCTGGAACTCGGGCCCCTGAAGGAGGCAGAAAAGTCGGTCCTACACAAGAACAGAGCAGCTTGTTTTCTGAAGAAGGAGCAGTATGAGAAGGTTATTGATGAGGCAACAAAATGTAAGCTCCAACATTTGTACACTACCATACTCAAAAGAAGTTATAAAACACCTGATTTCTTCAGGATTGTTAATTGTGCTGGGAATAGGATCTTTTTTTTTCTTCTTTTTTCTTTTTATTCCATCATATTTTACATTTCAATATCATACCTAGAGTGTGCATGGATTTATTGCGACATTATTGGCATGTTTGTAGCAGGGGGAAATAGGATCTTGGTATAGGATCAGCTATATCACTAGCTATTACCATTATGTCATGTTCATGTATCTTGCTTTGTATTATTGTGTTGATCACAACATTAAGCCAGCACGGAAAAATAGTATTTCATTAAATTTTATCACAATTTGTCCATTTTGAGTGATAGAGGTTTAAATAACAAACTAAGTTCTTTAAAATGCATTTTCAGTGTATCATGGTGTATGGATATCTGTGCCATACGAAAAAATGCTTTTTCAGAAGAACTGTGTAAGACATCATTAGCATGATGAAAACCATTTCATTGGTGCAAAATTGTTTTGATTGGAAATGCAACATTCAGGCATGTAATTGGGGGCCATGTTATACAGAGGCCTCAATCGCTGTTGATGAAGAAGTCTTATCACACATACAAAACAATATTTTGTTAATTTATTTGTGTGATATGGATGAGTCAAAGACATATGCTCAGTCTCATTCATTTGTTCATGTGAAAAATGAGGTTCTCCGGGATTTGTGAGAAATGTCATCTGTTTTGATTTTACAGCTCTTGATCTAACTCCCAATGATCCTAAAGCTCTATTCAGACGTTGTCAGGCATATGAAAAGCTGGACAAACTAGATGAAGCCTTCCGAGATGCTGCAATTGTCATGAAGATAGACCCCAAGAATACAGCTGTCATGCCCATATTCAAACGTCTCAACCCAATAGTCCAGGAGAGGGTAGGACACCTTGCTGCTTCTGTTTTTGTTGTTTTTGTTGCTGTTGTATGAAAACATATTTGTTCAATGTGTATTTCATTAGAATTTGGACAATAAGCCTATTCTGGATTTGTATTGCTATTAAGTATTGCTTTTTGAAATCATGTATCAATGATGAGGTGCCAGCACTAAAGTTCGGATGTAATTCATTTTGTTCATGCTATCAAAAGACGCAATCAAACTCTTTTCGTGTGATAAAACTTTAAACAGTTATTAGAAATAATGTAGAACGATATATGAAGGCCACCCAATGCTTGTGTTTCAGACTAAGGCCCGTAACAGCACAGTTTCAAAAGTGACACAGATGTTCAACTTTGCTTTTGACCAAACAGTGGAGCTTGAAAAAAGGAAACAGGTGTGTGTTAGGAGCTCCCTACACTTCACCCTGTCTTGTATTCTTTAATGGAAATGTCAGCATTCTTGAAGTCTTGCCAGTACAACATGCTTTTATTGCTATTTCCATTGATTTCTCTGGCAATATACCACTGACATTTATCAAACATAGCTTAGAGATTCATTTCGTACTCAGTCATGACAAGATCACCCATTTATCAAACATTCAAACATCACAGGAGGACAGGACTATTAGGGGTCATTGGCTGGTTTTTCGACTGGGGGCATCTGCAGCACTGTGCAGCTACACACAATGTCTACTTTATAACTTTGCATCTTCACAACTTTCATCGTTGTGTCTACTTACGACCTTGAACTTTGTGTTGTAAATGTGAGTAGCCCCCCCTTGGATCAAGGGGACAGACATTGGAAATGTCATCCGATGCCGTCCTTGGGGTTCCGTAATTGGTGTTGCATAAAGGCAAATATTATTTTAATGTGAAGTCTACATAATGTGAAGCATTTCCACTGGACAAAGGCCTGTGGCTGCAAAAGCACATGAACGAAACCTTTTGATGTTCATGTTTTTCACGAAACTGTATTCTTGAAATGACATACACAGTGATGGACTACTTCCATCTATAGAAACCTGTATTCAGAGCTTTTAGACAATTTAATAATTTTGCATACATTGGTAAAAGTAAGCAAATTTGAATGCTCTCGGAGCGGGTCTTTTGCCTTTAATGCAGCTGTTGAGTGGAAATCACTTCCTTTTGGTTTAACATCACTTTCCATGCTCAGTCAGTTCAAGAAATCGCTAAAGACACACCTGTTCCATTGACTTTACATATTTATATGTATACTGACTTTTGTAAGTGCTTTGAGCACACTTAGGTGTGGAGGTTAGCTCTATCAAAGAGGCCCTATTATTATGCCTGTAGTAGAATATCCTTGCTATGACGCATTCTATTGAACAAAATGAAGAATTGACACCCAAACAAGATTTGTCAACATATATGAGTTGCCTTATTACTTTAATTGATGGAATATACTATATACATAGAGTTTTGCACGCATTCATGTTTAATGTAAATCACGTCAACAGGTAATGTACACAATAGCCTTGAACAGCATGTTGAAGATAATATGCACCTCCTGCCTCATATTTTGAAAAGTTTGGCTGAAAATCTATTAATTAATTTATAGCGGCTATTCATGAAAAACAGTAGTATCATCTATCCTCAATTTCTATGTTCATATGTCACAGGCCCTGAACAACCTGATTGTGTTAGCCAGAGAAGAGACGGGATCAGAACTCATCTGTCGCGAGAATGGCATCAGGAAGCTGATGGCAGTGTTGGAGGAGGCGCAGTTAGAAGTTGTTCAGGCCGCAATCCGGGTCCTTTCGCTCCTCAGCAAAGACAGCATGAAAAGGGTAAAGAATATACAATCATAATACTTTTGAGTGAGTGAGTGAGTGCGTGGGTCTCAGACGTTTACCACTTCGGTGAAACTCACGAGCATGGATATGTCCTGACAAACCTAGAAACATAATCGGGGCGAACCGGGTTTCGAACCCACAATCATAGGTTTCTGGTCTGCCCAAGGGACACAACTCTGCACAGCAAATTGTGGCGCCTTAGACGACTGGACCACCTGTGTCCCCTAATACTTTGGAACTGTAATAATACTGACAGTGAATGTGTCAGCGTTTCCCAATTATGTAGATCAATGCTCATGATATTAATCACTAGGTTGTCTGGTCCAGACTCGATTATTTACAGACTGACATCATATAGCAGGAATATTGCTGAGTGTGACGTTAAACAACAAACAAAAAATCCTCTCAATATTGCAAGTGTATAAATGTTTAGTATGCTTTGACAAGGGGAGTTGCATTCCTCTGTACCCTATCTAGATCCATGTATGTATCAGTATCTAGGTCCATGTACTAAGATGTATCAGTATCTAGGTCCATGTACATGAATGTATCAGTATCTAGGTCCATGTACATGTATGTATCAGTATCTAGGTCCATGTACATGTATGTATCAGTATCTAGGTCCATGTACATGAATGTATCAGTATCTAGGTCCATGTACATGTATGTATCAGTAACTAGGTCCATGTACATGTATGTATCAGTATCTAGGTCCATGTACATGAATGTATCAGTATCTAGGTCCATGTACATGAATGTATCAGTATCTAGGTCCATGTACATGTATGTATCAGTATCTAGGTCCATGTACATGAATGTATCAGTATCTAGGTCCATGTACATGAATGTATCAGTATCTAGGTCCATGTACATGTATGTATCAGTATCTAGGCCCATGTACATGTATGTATCAGTATCTAGGTCAATGTACATGTATGTATCAGAATTTAGGTCCATGTACATGTATGTATCAGTATCTAGGTCCAAGTACATGTATGTATCAGTATCTAGGTCCATGTACATGAATGTATCAGTATCTAGGTCCATGTACATGTATGTATCAGTATCTAGGTCCATGTACATGTATGTATCAGTATCTAGGTCCATGTACATGTATGTATCAATATCTAGGTCCATGTACATGTATGTATCAGTATCTAGGTCCATGTACATGTATTTCTGTTATTTCTCTGTTGTTATTTCCAGTCCAAGGCAATTGTAGACATAGTTACAGTGCCCAAGATTCTACGTATGTTGGGATCTCCTCAAGCAGAAGTCTCTGACTCCTCGTCGGTGTTGATAGGAAACGTTATCACCTACTACACCGGGGTGGACAAGTACCGCGAAGAAGTCAAGAAGTACGAAGCTGACCGGAAGAAAGGCGAGCGTGTCAGATACCCACATTTTAAAGTTGGTAGGTGACTATCTTATACACACCCTTCGTTTGGCTTTTATCATGCTTATTGGTCTATATGTCTTCCTAACAAGACCTGAATTATTGTTGGGGGGGATGTTTCGTAACAATTCATTATTCTGATTTTGCAGCATGTTTTTGTATTATTTGATAGCTGAAAAGCTTTTTTCATTTGTTCTTTTAATTTGGTCTATGTTCTAAAGCATTCTGTTTTGAAGTTTGGCAATACAGCTGGCTGCTCAGTATAGGTGGAATGTGACTAACAGTGTTTATTGTGTAATATATCATAACGTCTGTGTGTTTTACAGAGGAAGACGATGAAAGCTTTGTTGACCAAGTATTCCTGCTTTTGATCAACATGGTCGGCAATGGGAAGGTTTCTGCAGTGGGGCGAGACAATGCCATTGAACTACTCATCAAACACGTCACCTGGAAAGAGGGAGTCAACTGGACCAACAAGTTCCTCAAACATGATGGTATGTCGTGGCCATGATGTTACAGTTTCTGACATCCAGTCTTTACTTACACATATACAAGCATTTAGTCAACTCCATGATGGCTTAGGTGTTTCTGTGTAGAGATGCATCCCTTTCCTGCCAGGATCTGACTCTAACAGTATAGTGTCCCAGGTGAAGCTGTGTAGAGTTGTGTCCCTTTCCGGTCAGGATCTGACTCTAACAGTATAGTGTCCTAGGTGAAGCTGTGTAGAGTTGTGTCCCTTTCCTGCCAGGATCTGACTCTAACAGTATAGTGTCCCAGGTGAAGCTGTGTAGAGTTGTGTCCCTTTCCTGCCAGGATCTGACTCTAACAGTATAGTGTCCTAGGTGAAGCTGTGTAGAGTTGTGTCCCTTTCCTGCCAAGATCTGCTCATTATTGGTTCAAATCCCAAACCTGAGCAGCATATGGTGTCATGGGTGTTTCTGTGTGGAGCTGCATCCCTTTCCTATCAGGATCTTCTGATTATTGGTTCAAATCCCTAAATCTAACAGTATATGGTGGCTTGGGTGAAGCTGTGTAGAGTTGTGTCCCTTTCCTGCCAGGATCTGACTCTAACAGTAAAGTGTCCTAGGTGAAGCTGTGTAGAGTTGTGTCCCTTTCCTGCCAGGATCTGACTCTAACAGTATAGTGTCCTAGGTGAAGCTGTGTAGAGTTGTGTCCCTTTCCTGCCAGGATCTGACTCTAACAGTATAGTGTCCTAGGTGAAGCTGTGTAGAGTTGTGTCCCTTTCCTGCCAGGATCTGACTCTAACAGTATAGTGTCCTAGGTGAAGCTGTGTAGAGTTGTGTCCCTTTCCTGCCAAGATCTGCTCATTATTGGTTCAAATCCCAAACCTGAGCAGCATATGGTGTTATGGGTGTTTCTGTGTAGAGTTGCATCCCTTTCCTATCAGGATCTCCTGATTATTGGTTCAAATCCCTAAATCTAGCAGCATATGTTGGCTTGGGTGTTGCTGTGTAGAGTTGCGGCCCTTTCCAGCTAGGATCAGCTTATGATGGGTTTATGTTCTTTAGCCTGTCAGCACCACACAATGTAGTGCTTGTTAGGTTCAGTAAAGCTGTCAGCATCTACAACCTGTGACACTTTTCAAACATTAAATTTGGAGGCTGTGATATATCTGACATTCTGTTGACAGTAGTACTGTCCCCACCATGCCCTCACTCTACTGCAGTGTATAATACATCATTGATGATCAATTCCCTACTTCTCCCAGGTGTTGAAAAGCTCCTGACAGTGGCTGGCACTGTGAAGGAGTATCATACACTTCCTGTCACTGAGAACACTCGCATGCATGCCTCCGTGGCCCTGTCCAAGATATATGATGACCTCAGCAGTGACCAGTTGAGGAACACATTCAAGGACCAGTGTACAGATTTCTTCAAGTAAGTGCATGCAAAGTTGTAAATGTGAATGTGACACACTGATTTGTTCACATGCTTGTAAAGATTGTTACCATGGTTACATGTATGTTTGTTATACTTACCTGTTCAGGTGTAAATCTTCAGAATGTCCCCAGGCTAAGTTGATGGAGATAAAACACATGATCCTAAATTTCTAAATGTTTCTGAAAGGAGGCTGATTGTTCTCACAGGTAAATGAAGCGGCAGATTACTTGAGCAAATATAGAACCAAGGTTAGACAGTGCCACTGATCTGTTCATCCAAGAATACCAGAATTTTCTTGAGTATAGTGCGCACTTTTTTAAAAAAAAACCCAGCTGTGTAGAAGGGGGTGCGCATTATACAAGAAATTATGAGTTTGGATGTTTTTTCCCCCATGGAAAGACATTACCGTGAGCACGAAACACCGGAAATACCATGTCAACAAATCCATACTGAAGTACGCAAAATAATCATGTAATTACACTGTCTGGCTATAAAAAGTGTTCTTTGTATATCTGGACTTATGTTTGTAACTTATTTCATTAATTTTATTCAAAATTCCTTATAATATTGTTTTTATTAATAACGGCGAAATCGTGTGTGAAGCGATCGGAAGATCGCACAACTCACCGTTAATAGCAACCATGGTCAGAATACCGTTATTGACGCCTTGAAACGAACTTTAGTTGACAGAGAATGGATACATATATCATAAATGACATACTTTGACTCGTTAAAAGTCATATTTGTTTTTGTTTGACGATTCTATGTCAACATGAAATTCTTGCGATCACGTGCGCGTGAGCCTTGACGGTGACTGGTCAGACTGGTTCCATGCAAAAAATAATACCCGGCAATAGCGATCAGCTGCTTCGCTTAGGGTTATTATTATTTTAAATATGTTTAGTAAAGGCTGCATATAATTAAGAAAATAATGGAATATATTATTCCTGATAAAAAAAATAGTTTCAGATACAATTGTTGCCGATCCTTGCATTAAAAATCCTATAAAGTTATATCATTGGGTGTGTCTTGACCGAATCACCGGTCGATTCCAAGAAAACGTGTGTACAGTTGATTGCTGTTTCCAGCTTAGTTTACGAGAAAATACGCAAGGTAATCTTAATCCCTAGATATAAAACAATGCCTAGCAGAACAATAAATACTATTTAAACGGTAAATAAACATTTCTGGTGATTTTTTATCTCAAATTTCGAATTTGTACTGACGAGGTTTCTCAGCACCCGTTCGTTTGCCGGACTTCGCTGAAAGGGTACGGTGTAAATTTTTTCTGCGCATAATATTCAAATTTATTTTTTTCCAAAATATTGAACCCGCTAGAGGGGGGTGCGCATTATACATGGGTGCGCACTATACTCAAGAAAATACGGTAGTGAAAATCTAGAAGGACTAGTTGTCTTCTCTCCAAATCTGGTTATATACTCAGCATCATTATTGACGCATCACACAGATTATATGAGATAAAAGTATTAAAAAAACCATCACATTTTCAACTTCCAAGAGTGCAGTTTAGCTGCATCTGGAATGAACCTTATTATACCCACATTGACTGTTACTTGTCTTGTAGTTTACATGCAAGGGCTAAACCACTGGTTGCAGGCAGGAGTGTTTCGGGTAGCTTCTTCCATTACCTTCAATCTTGCACCCGTTTTTTTTAATGGTCATTTGTTTTATGGTCGTTTTTTTTATGTTCTTCAACTGTTAATTACACTGTCAACAAACTCGGACCTATTGACGCTTGTTGTCATATGTAAGTAAGTATAAGAATTTATGGATGAACAACTTCTTTATTACAATTTAGAGCAACGTTTCGGTGTAGGTTCTAAGACCGTTATCAAGCAAGGTGTTAGAACCTACACCAAAACATCGCTCTTATTGTAATAAAGAAGTTGTTCATCCATAAATTCTTATCCTTACTTAGTGCTCCAACTTCTAAATGCCTATCAAAGAAGTTGTTGTCATATGTTCATGATTTGTCACCCTATGTCCCTAGGTGTCCCTTCAAGAATGATCTGAGTATATTATATAAACCACTCTTCTGAAACGAGATGTGGACTAGTTGCATATGACCAGAGTAGGGCTGGGACGAGTCCAAATTTACTACCCGGATACCCGGATACCCGACCCCTTATTACTCGACCCTACCCTGTACTTGCTGTAGGTCTCAAGAATTGAGTACAAAATGTCCGATTGGGAATAGTTTGACATGTACTTGGTTATTTCACAGAGGCTCCTGATGAGTAAGACACATTCAGGATTAAATTGACAGTCATTCATTCTACATATTCCTATCATCTGAAGAAGCTGTAAATTATCCTGTTGATTAAAAAATGAAATAAAGATACTAGATTTGAGAAACTGGCATCTGTGAAGTATTCTGTATTAAGTTTGAGGATTTTAATATGTTGAATGTATCTGGTTACTTTCAGGGATCTGTTCAGTGAAGAGGACATGGAGTCAAAGGTTGAGGCCATCGAGGGAATCTCCACCCTGCTACAGGTAAACCTGACACATCAACACGTTCCCCCTTGCTACAGGTAAACCTGACACACATCAACACATGTTCCCCCTGGCTACAGGTAAACCTGACACACATACACACATGTTCCCCCTTGCTACAGGTAAACCTGACACACATCAACAAATGTTCCCCCTTGCTACAGATAAACCTGACACACATCAACACATGTTCCCCCTTGCTACAGGTAAACCTGACACACATCAACAAATGTTCCCCCTTGCTACAGATAAACCTGACACACATCAACACATGTTCCCCCTTGCTACAGGTAAACCAGACACACATACACACATGTTCCCCCTTGCTACAGATAAACCTAACACACATCAACACATGTTCCCCCTTGCTACAGGTAAACCTGACACACATCAACACATGTTCCCCCTTGCTGCAGGTAAACCTGACACACATCAACACATGTTCCCCCTTGCTGCAGGTAAACCTGACACATCAACACATGTTCCCCCTTGCTACAGGTAAACCTGACACACATCAACACATGTTCCCCCTTGCTACAGGTAAACCTGACACACATCAACACATGTTCCCCCTTGCTACAGATAAACCTGACACACATCAACACATGTTCCCCCTTGCTACAGGTAAACCTGACACACATCAACACATGTTCCCCCTTGCTACAGGTAAACCTGACACATCAACACATGTTCCCCCTTGCTACAGGTAAACCTGACACACATCAACACATGTTCCCCCTTGCTACAGGTAAACCTGACACACATCAACACATGTTCCCCCTTGCTACAGATAAACCTGACACACATCAACACATGTTCCCCCTTGCTACAGGTAAACCTGACACACATCAACACATGTTCCCCCTTGCTACAGGTAAACCTGACACACATCAACACATGTTCCCCCTTGCTACAGGTAAACCTGACACACATCAACACATGTTCCCCCTTGCTACAGATAAACCTGACACACATCAACACATGTTCCCCCTTGCTACAGGTAAACCTGACACACATCAACACATGTTCCCCCTTGCTACAGGTAAACCTGACACACATCAACACATGTTCCCCCTTGCTACAGGTAAACCTGACACACATCAACACATGTTCCCCCTTGCTACAGGTAAACCTGACACACATCAACACATGTTTTTAAGCAGATTTTTTGTCAACAAAAAGTTACACCAATATGTTTATTTTGAAAGTAAATTTCAGTCATTACTGAACAGGCTAGATTTTAATAATTTGTTTTATTATTGAAGAGTTTCCCATTTTGAATTTGAATTATCATATGGTCAGTCTGTTGGAGTAGCAGTGTTGTCCTGATTTCAGGGTCCATTTGAAGTGGGCAACTTGATCCTGGGCACACAGGGAGTCACACAGATTATGTTTGCCCTGGCCAACAGTGAGAGCAGGCTGCATCAGGTGAGACAGTCATAACTATTAGTCAATCAGTCTTTGTTTCTGCACTACAGATGCCACAGGACTAAAGTCCCGGCCAATTGATTAGTGATGACTGACACTTGTAATCACCACAGGTTCATTTACAACTTTGGAAATCTCTACCGTCATATTTATCATGTCGGCCATTTTGACGTCTAGTACTTGATGTTAATGTATTACGAAGTGCTGTTAGAGTGACTGACTTACAGAGGTAGTGGGGCGGTCGGGTAGCCAAGTGGTTAAAGCGTTCGCTCGTCAAGTGGTTAAAGCGTTCGCTCGTCACGCCGACGACCAGGGTTCAATTCCCGACATGGGTGCAATGTGTGAAGCCCATTTCTGGTGTCCCCCGCCATGATATTGCTGGAATATTGTTAAAAGCGGCGTAAAACCATACTCACTCACTCACTCACAGAGGTAGTTTTTACAGACCTTTCTCATGTTATAATGATATTATTTGAAGATGTTTGTTGTAAACAAACTACAAAAGATATCACTATAGAACAATATGGGCATACTCGGGGTACATACACTCGTGTCACCTCTCCTAATGAGGAACTACTTCATTCTGTGATACAGCTGGTTGTTGTATGGCTGTCAGTGTAAACATGAAGTCGCACATACTAAATAACATTGTAAAAAATAGTGATGTAAAAGATTATAAGAATTGACTTTTACTTTGTATGAGTTCATTGGAGTATGAACATTCTCAGAGTGAGGGTCACACATACAGTTTGGTCCTCAACTCACACAAAGTGAAAGTCAGTTCTTAAATGTTAATATATTCTTCTCAATTTAAGAAAATAATTTTGAATAAAATAATGATTTTTCCCAAATTGCTGCCCAGGGGCAATAATTACTTTTAAATCCTAAATAAATCCATATATGTGTCACTGTGCTATTTTCATTGTTCAGGGGCGGTCGGGAAGCCTAGTGGTTAAAGCATTCGCTCGTCACGCCGAAGACCTGGGTTCGATTCCCGACATGGGTACAATGTGTGAAGCCCACTTCTGGTGTCCCCCGCCGTGATATTGCTGGAATATTGCTAAAAGCGGCGTAAAACCATATTCACTCACTCACTTCATTGTTCAGTGTTGTGGGCCGAGAACCGCGTGTTATATAGAAAATGTAATCATATTATTTATATTGTTTGATCACAGAGGGTTGCAGTTGAAGCTATAGTCAATTCAGCCTCAAAGAAGGAGCGATGTTCTGGCATCCTGAAAGACGCTGTGCCCATTCTGAAGGGTCTGTACCAGTCTGCCGATGATCACATCCGAGTCCGAGCGCTTGTGGTAAGGACCTTCCAGTTAGCATCTTTAAATATAGACTGGATATTGACTATTGGTTTGGACGTCACTTGTTTTTCCATACTAACCTCTCAGGAGGTTTCACATTTTCCTAGTAAGACCTCATCCGATGTATTGGAGCGGTTGGGTAGCCCAGTGGTTAAAGTGTTTGATCGTCGCGCCAAAGACCCGGGTTCGATTCCCGACATGGGTACAATGTGTGAAGCCCATTTCTGGTGTCCCCCGCCGTGATATTGCTGGAATATTGCTAAAAGCGGAGTAAAACCATACTCACCCACTCACTCATCTGATGTATGAGGTTTTACTGTTTCCTTGAAAGACGTGATGAGTGGAGTAGCACATGAAATCTGGACTTAGTGTTTCAAATGTCCAATGTTCCAAAATCAAAGACAAGAATTGAAACTTTTTAATTATGCATGATGGGAATCACGACCACAACCTCCTGATCAATAGTCAAACACTGTAACCATTGCTCAAGTACTGCATTTAGTGTATATTTTCGATCTTCCCTAGGCAAGGGAGTTAACTGACTGTAAAGGTCCAGTTTTCACCCTTGCCAAACTATGCTAGAATTTCTGGTCTCGATCGTAGTGCCACCAGTGGCTATTACGAGTTATGTGCCTTCCATGTCCCTCCTATTGACTAATCAGATTCCACCTCTCATGTCACTTGCGTTTGCTCCAGACTATATGGTGGCGCCAAGTCAAGACAATCTGATCGATAATCAAGATCTATATTGAAATAAAACGGGTCTTTATTCGCAAAGTGCATCAAATCACAATAACCTTGATCATAAACATGAAAAGATTTGGAAATATCTGTTGACGCCAAGTTGTCGGTACACAATTGACCGAAATCTGCATGGCAGTTTACGAACCGGATGTTGATTTCGATAAGTGATTTTGATTGGGCTATGCATAGACTCGTTAGTCCAGCCAAAATTTAACTCCATAATTCCAGCCTAATTCGGCAATGGTTGAAACTGGACTTTTATAGTCTCAGGAAGGTGATATTCCCTGTCCAGATATATTTTACAAGCATTTCTTTAGGTTATCGTAGATTACTTTTATGATAAACAAATATTAATAAATGCTGTTTCGAAGGTTCATAAGTTGGATAAATCACAACTCCTAGGTTTTTGTTGCAATGGAAAATCTGGCCGAAGTGACCGAGTCTGTAAAACTTGGGGTGTTAGCCTGAAGATTTACAAGCCAGGTCTCTGCAGAACTCACATAATTATTAGAAATCTGTGACTAGACAGAAGCTTGTAAGAATATTTACATCAGGTCAATAAGCTTGGTTGATGATGGTTTATAGGCTTATACAACTAGATACGGTTGCTGGGCCCACTTGCACAAAGCATTCTTAGCGCTAAGATGATCGTAACTCCCATACTTTAACATAGGCTTACAATAGTCTTAGCGCTAAGATCGCTTTGTGCAAGTGGGCCCTGGACACCAAGCCTGTGCCAGAAACCTATTATCGTGTTTATGTTTCTTGATTTGTCAGCTCCATGCTCGTAGGTTCACCAAAGTGGCAAACATCTAAGACATGCACCATGTCAAGGTTATATAACTGACATGCTGTTCCAAGCGACGATTAACCCGACTCACTCACTCATTCACTTATATAGTCAAAAGGTTTGGCATGACCAGTCACAGGACAGTCCAGGGACTGGGATTAGCACATGCCCTTGAAAGAATGAATCTTTGTACATCAATATTTGTGTTTGAAGATGTTTATGCTGTTGGCCTTCAACATCTGGGATGCTAGATATTTCATGGTGGGCTTTCTTTCACAGGGTCTGTGTAAGCTAGGCAGTTTCCATGGCAGCGATGCCAGTGCTAAGCCAATGGCTGATGGATCCAGCTTGTCACTGGCCAAGTCATGCAGAAAGTAAGTCATCCATTCCACAGGGAAGCATCATTGCACAATTTCATTTCTTAAATTTATGTAGCTTGAAACTGATTTCCAATAACCAGATTTTTTTATCGATCAACACAATTTTGATTATCAATAATTAGAATATGTATCCTCAAATTGCACAACTTGACATAGATAGTAAGCAGATATAGAAGACAACGCAGGACTGTTCTAATGAATTATTTCAGATTACCATGACAGCTCTATGAACGAATGTGGTGTTGGTGTATTTTCTAGATTCTTGACCAACCCTGCTAAAGATGTAGACCTGCGGAAGTGGGCCACAGAGGGGCTGGCGTACCTCACCCTGGACGGTGATGTTAAGGAAGAGTTGATAGATGATGTCGAAGCCATCAAGTCCATCTTTGAAATAGCTAAGGTAATAGCTAACAGGCTTGTTACATAAAGACCCATGAAGATCCGGGGTAGAATAGGTCTTCATCAACCCATGCTTGCCATAAAAGGCGACTGCTTGTCGTAAGAGGCAACTAACGGGATCAGTTGGTTCGGCTCACTGACTTGGTTGATTAATGTCATCGTATCCCAATTGCGTAGATCGATGCTCATGATATCAATGACTGGATTGTCTGGTCGAGACTCGATTATTTACAGATCGCCATCATAGAGCTGGAATATTGCTGAGTGCGGCTTTAAACAACAAATAAACAAACAACATAAACAGGGTTCAATAACTATGCATGCTAGATGATACTAAAATAATACAATTATTAGAAACTGTTATTGTGTGATTACTGATTAAATGTATTGCATATTCTGTAACCAGTGCCCATCCCCTTGATAGCATTTAGCATTATGTTCCCCACCTGCCAAACAAGATAAAAAACTGCAAGAGATTGATGTACAGATACTTGAGTATGATTAATCTTAATTAAAAATTAATGTTTTGAACTTGTAACTGCCCCCTTGTTGATGATGAACTTGCAGATGTTGCTTGTGTTGATGTAGAAACCATTCCAGACAAGAGCATCTTAGTCATGCTGATGACATATTGACTGTGTCTGCAGGTTAAAGAGAAGAATGTGGCGTATGCCGCCATTACTATCATGGTGAACCTCACCAACAGCTACGACAAGCAGGACATCATGCCAGAACTCATTGAGCTAGCCAAGTTCTCCAAGCAACATGTTCCTGAAGAACATGAAAAGGTTTGTGGAATTGTTTTATGAAAGTTTGATTTGACTTTTTTAGCAATTTACGTAATTGATAAGCATCTTGCTGAAAAGTTGCTGTTCCGTGTAATACAGTAGAACGGGGATATAACGAACACAGATAGAGCGAAGAAACAGATACAAAAAATCCCAGATTAAACTCCATTATATTATCATATACAATTTACGAACATAAAGAACTCACTACAGCGAACTAACATATATAGCGAACAGATATCTGATCCTCCAACAAGCCCAAATACCACTAATTAGTGACGTGTATAGCGAACGGAGAAATCTCGTTCAGTGGCTATACGCAATCAGCGGCGAATCTACACATTCAGCGGTGACAAGTCAACCTTGTTTAACTTGCTTAATGTTAATCTTACTTGTACATGTAATTCGACTAATCTTGTCTGTAAAGCAAATTATGTGTATTTATCCAAGGTAGCTGATGTTTCAGAGCGAAAACATATGTAACAAACAACGTATATAACGAACTGATTTCTCCGGTCCCTTGTAATTCGTTATATCCATGTTCTGCTGTAGTTAGAGATTGAGTAACTTTGTTGGGATATAATGGTACTGATCCTGACAAAGATGTCGTCAAGAAGTACTGTAATAAGTAACAACAGCTGCATAAGAATGTCACATGGACAGCAAACACACTGAAATGGTTCACTGGTCCAAGAGTGACATGTTTTGTTCGATCCATGTTGTGATATTTTTTTAGTGGTTGGCTGATTGATGAAAGTGACACTTCGGCATGCATATCCACTATCCTTCTAAACCCTCAGGACCGCCTCCGTGGTCTAGTGGTAGAGCGTCCGCCCGGAGAGCAGAAGGCCCGGGTTCGATCCCCGGCAGCGTCATACCAAAAGACGTTAAAAGATGGTACTTGTTGTTACCCTGTCTGGCGCTCGGCATTAAGGGGCTAAAACAAGGACTGGTCGGCTCGGAGTCAGTATACTGTGTCTGAGTGGGGTATTCATGTTAAACTGCGGCATGGTATCTCAGTGAGCTAGCACTATAAATTGGCATCAGTCCGGACTAGTACAAGCAGCCACACAAACACACACACGTACATGCACGTCGCTATATAAGTGCAATAATCTTGGACGCGACGTTAAACCCCATTTCACCTCACATCACCTCTAAACCCTCAGCATCAATTATTTACAGGTCACTCTCATACAGCTGGAATATTTCTGCGTGCAGCATTAAACAACAAAGAAACATACAAAATATGTGGCATACTTGCAGGACAAGATGGAGTTTATCCAGTCTCGGATCCAGAAGCTGGCGAAGGCCGGCGCTGTGAACGCCCTGGTGGCCCTGTCGACCACGGAGAGCAAAAACAGCAAGGAGCTCATCGCCAGGTAGGCCTGTCAGAGAAGTGTAGCTGTGTCTTAACAAATGTGATCAATGTCAACCAGAAATAAATGCCTTAGACCTATTTTAACTTGTGAAATACTTACAAGATGTATCTTTTCTTTTGCAGAGTGTTCATGAGTATTGCTACAGAGGAGAACCTGCGTGGTCTCATTGTGCAGCAGGGAGGGGCCAAGGTGGGTGTGACTCAGAAGGATGTAAAGTTATAGAGGGGACTCGAGGGTAGGTCTCTAGTTCCTTATGGGGGATGGGGGGATTCAAGGGTAGGTCTCTAGTTCCTTATGGGGGGTGGGGGGATTCAAGGGTAGGTCTCCAGTTCCTTATGGGGGGTGGGGGGATTCAAGGGTAGGTCTCCAGTTCCTTAAGGGGGGTGGGAGGATTCAAGGATAGGTCTCCAGTACCAGTCAAATGCTTGTTTGTCTGGTCAAGATTTGCTAGTTGGTACATAGGTTTGGAAAATTCCTGAATCATCTCAATAAGCCCTTAATTATACCTCGAGGTATTTTTAGGTAGTATTTAGATGGTCCTATTATTTTGCAAACGAGTCCCATTAGCAGGCAGTGACAACCAACTGATTTAATGCAGTGTTGTAATTATTTTGAATGTTGCCAGGTACTGCTACCGCTTTCCCTGCAGAGCACGGACATTGGGGAGGTACTAGCGGCACATGCTCTCGCCAAGATTGCTGTGACAATGAACCCAGAGGTAGCCTTCCCAGGCCAGAGGGTAAGTGGGCACATACCCAGCATGTAGGCATGTCAGGCTTTGTCTGTTTAGGAATGTTGGTCATGTAACTACCCCAACTTCTATATATTGTGTGGAGGTCACATTTTGTATTGTTCTAAATGTGGTGATGTAGACCGCAGTGGACACCCGGTACGTCTTACTTTAAGAGAGATTGCCTCTGTGGATGAGTGGATAGTGCATCTGCCCAGAGAGAGGAAGGTTGTGGTTCCATCCCCGACTGCGTCATACAGTAATAGATTAATAAAGATGGTACTTGTTGTTACCATGCCTGTTGCTCAGCAATAAGGGGATGAAATAAGGACTGGTCAGCTTGGAGTCAGTATGCTGTCTCAGTAGGGTAGCCATGTTAAACAGCGACATGGTCTCTCAGTGGGCTAGCACTCTAAAACCAGCTTGAGTCTTGACTAGTACAAGCAGTCAGCTTGGAGTCAGTATGCTGTCTCAGTGGGGTATCCATGTTAAAAAGCGGCATGGTCTCTCAGTGTACTAGCACTCTCAAACCAGCTTTAGTCTTGACTAGTACAAGCAGCCACACACACATGCATGGATGTCACTGTATAAGTGCAGTAATCTTGAACATGATGTTAAATCCCATTTCTCCTCACCTAAGTTAGATGGACCACAAGAGTTTCTCGATAAATAAATAATATGTCCATTATAAAGAAGATGTGGTAGAAACATAGCTGGAATTCATAAACCCGATTGTGATATCTTTACTGTATACCATACTCTGTAGCATGTATACTACATGCTGGTATGTCCCGTGAAGATTCTGGGTTAGAATAAGTCTTCAGCAACCCATGCTTGTCAAAAGATGCGACTAACAGGATCGGGTGGTCAGGCACGCTGACTTGGTTGATGCATAGATCGTTGCTCATGATGGCAATCACTGGATTGTCTGGTCCAGACTCGATTATTTACAGCCCGCTGTCATATAGTTGGAATATTGCCGAGTACGGCGTTAAACAACAAACAAACAAATATGCTGTAATAGGCATGAAAAGATGACATGATTGATTATATATGTTATGTACATCCATATCTTGAGAGAGGAATTGTTTAACTCCTTTCAAGAATCCATGATTGTGATATCCATTGTCATTGTTACAGATGTATGAGATTGTCCGGCCATTGATCAGCTTGCTTCAAGTGGAAAGGTCCGGGCTGCAGAATTTTGAGGCACTTATGGCTCTCACTAACCTTGCCTCAGTCAGTGATTCCGTCAGGTGAGAGAAAGTTTTTATTTAATCAGATTTCCAACTTTGTGTGTCTTTTGGATCTTAGTTATATTTCCTGAGGGAATAGAAATCCCTACGTATGGCATTGGTTATCCTACTCTGTACATGTTGTCGGGGGGCACAGGTGGCCCAGTCGTCTAAGGCGCCGTGATTTGTTGTGCAGAGTTGCGTCCCTTGGGCACGCCAGAATCCTATGATTTTGGATTCGAATCCCGGTTGCCCTGATTATGTTTCTAGGTTTGTCAGCACCATACCCGTGCTCGTGGGTTTCACCGAAGTGGTAAACGTCTGAGACCTGCATAACTTCGGGCTTTCGTCCCACATTAAGCTGACACACCGTGATATAACTGGAATACTGTTAAAAGCGGCGTTAAACCCAACGCACTCACTCACTGTACATGTTGTCAGCAGGAGTAGGATGCAAACCAGTCAAGCAATCCAAACATACACTGAAAATAGATTCCTGACAATAAACCGCAAAATGAAAGGACTTTCTACACACAACAAAAGTGACTTCCTGTGGGGATTCTGGGATACAATTGGTCTCCTGCAGCCTATGCTAGTCTAAAGAGGCGGCTTTATCAGCTCCAGGTGGTCAGGTTTGGTGAATTGGATGATAGTGTGTCATCATATCTCAATCACTGGATTATCTTGTCCAGATTTGATTATGTGCAGGCTGTCATCATTTAGATGGAATATTTCTGAGTTTGGCTTTAGGCAACAAACAAATATTTCTGTGTTTGGCTTTAGACAACAAACAAACGTAAAAGTAACGCAATGCAAATACAGACAGGAACAAGTTTGTATGACATGGGCTTCAATGCATCAAGTGACCTATTCGCTAGTGATTGTGATACTCCCATGCAGAGTGATAGTAATCAATGCACACAGAACTGAAACATCAGGACAAGTGGCATGCTTCAGTCAGTAAGGATGGTTGTGTTCAGAGCTTCAGTTTATCATTAAACAGTGTGAGTGAATGTTGTTCAATGCGACAGTTCGCAATATAGCGGCTGTATCATGGAGCCTGTACATAATCAAGTCTGGACCATACAATCCAGTGATATCATGAGCACCATCCCTATTGGGGTATGACATCATGAGCATTGATCCATGCAATTGCGATACGATGACATGCGTCAGCAAGTCAACGAGCCTGACCCCCGATCCTGTTAGTCTTCTTACAACAAGCATAGCCCCCTTTACGGCAAGCATGGGTTGCTGAAGACCTATTCTACCCGGGATCTTCAAGGGTCTGGGGTATGATGGCACCCAGTCAACCTAGTTACTGAGTCTGGCCACCAGATACAATTCAGTTGCCTCCTATGACAAGCATAGGTTACTGGGAACCACTTACACCCTTTAATCCCCACAGGGCTTTAGACTTAAAAGTCATTCAGTTTTTAGGACAGTGTACAGACAAAATGAAAACATCAGAATATGAAAATGACACCTAGAAATATAAAAAAAACCTGCAAATGTGATCTTGAATTTGCAGGAAATGTGGATAAGATGTTGTGTAACAGACTTCTACCAAGTGTTAGTGAAGTACAGGAAACACTTGCACGAAATGTTGTGTTCCTGAAATATTGGTATTAGTTACCAAGTGATGATGATTATAATGATACCAACTTTTTTGTCTTACAGAAATCGTATTGTATCTGAAAAGGGAATCCCTGCAATAGATAATTACATGTACGAGGAACACGAGATGTTGAGGCGGGCAGCCACGCAGTGCATGTGCAACTTGGTCATGAATGAAAAGGTTAGTAGTAGTAGCAGCAGCAGCAGGAGTAGTACATAAAGTACCGGTAGTAGTAGTAGTAGTATAATTGTGTAAGAATAGTTTTGGGGATGAGTATGGTACAGTAATATACTGCTATGTTATTACCTGTGTTGTACCAGCAGAAGAAAGTAGAATGTCTGCCAGTAATTGTAGCAGACCGCCCAGTGTGATCTATTGGGTGCGGCACGTAGTCCTGTATGCAGTGCACAAATCAGGTGAAAGTGTAACTAGTATTGACTGACATCTTGTCTCAGGTTATCAAGCTGTATGAGGGGGAGAATGACCGTGTCAAGCTGATGGTGTTGTTCTGTGGGGAGGAAGACCCTGAGCTGAGACTGGCAGCCGCCGGCGCCATTGCCATGATCTCATCACTGCCCTCAATAGCCAAGAAGATAATAGAGGTGGGTACTTCAGAAGTGGCCTTGAGGTTCTTTCTTTCTAAGCATCATCTAAAAATCTGTCTTCTGACTAATCTGTTATCATTCAACAGTATCCAATCTCAATGAACAAACCAAGCGTTTGACACAAAACAAGTACTTATTGTGTAAAATGATTGTTGCAGGTTAAAGGTTGGTACGAGATCATCCAGGGACTGGCTGTGGAGGAAGAAATCCAACTCCAACACCGGGGCTGCCACATCCTCAAAAACATGATGGTCGACCGGGACACCGCTGAAAAGATTGTAGCTTCTCAGGACTTCGAAGTGTTGATGGCTATCACAATGTTGAAAGATCCCCAGCGGGAGGCCGCCACAAAGTGTGCGAAGGAGGCACTGGATTTGGCAGAGGAGCATGGTCTCATCAAACCCAAGGCCTCCGTAGAAACACTGGAGGAGGAGGAGGAGGACTGAGAAGGGCAGACATCTGTACAGCGTGTCTTGTCAGCAGAGGAAAGATGGTTAAACTGAAGTATTCCTGGTGTTCCCAGGGTAGCGGCCTTTGAGGAAAGTGCCGTTCCTGTGATGCTGCATCCACACTGGAGGGTCAGGGGATGGGTATTGTGCTCGTGACATATATTGAACTCAGCTTTGTCTCAGTATATTTAGAAGAACACAATTCTTTGGTAAACATCAACCTGGGCCTGCTGACGAGCAAAATTGAATTGGAAAATAGTTTCATTATTGGTGACACAAATTAACACTATTTTCTTCAATGGTGCGACTGTTCAATTGACTCACAAGATGTCAGTGTATCAGTCGATGGCCTGTCTAGGAAACAAGGCTGAAACAGTGTTGATCTAGTGGCAAAACAAACAGTCATGTTCCAAGAAAGCTTGATTTGCTTCAAGACAAATAGCATGTGCAATATATGTGACCATATTTTAGTGTGCTACTGAGATGATTTGAAACAAGTTAACAAGTTGGATGTGAAATAGGTCTCCCAACTTCACAACACACGACAACTTCACCATGGGGAGTCCAAACTTGGTACCAACACTTTCAGCAAGGTGTGTACAGTTGCCTGCAGTGACAGGGGTACCCAGCTGTCCAGCTTTTGCTGTTATTATACTGAGTGTAAATATTGTAGCATGAATCAAAAATGTGCCAAGAAATTCAGGATTTGTCCCTTACTTCTTACTGTGTGTACAGATGTACTGCAGTATTGTTATCAGTTGTCGAAACATCATTCTTACACCATTTATGATTTCATTGTATGTTAGCATACACAAGTATTATGAGAAAACTGACCGATATAATATAACACATCTTGATGTAGATAGGTATAACCTATGTGAATATTATTGAAAATGTACTTCATAAATAAAGCATATTTATATTAATAATGTTAGATATTCTGGAATAATGTATTCATTCACTTTATTATTTATTAATAGGTAAATCAATTGGAACATGCCATGATTTATTTATGTTGGGCTACCTACCATGACTACTCTATCCAGGACATGCGTTTCTTACTAATCAGTGCTATTTGGTAGCCATTTTGTTTTTTGTCCTTAACATGGTTTGATGGTATATTTTGCTCATCAGATTTTTATCATGTTAAATATTTTTATAGAAATTAATCTATGAAGCCCTTGAGTTAGGCATGGATACATGGTACCTCTTAGTGGATTATACACCAGTCTCTTGTTCCACCTTTTGTTAGTGATCAACATTTCTTGCAGTAGCCTTTCTTGTAGACAAGGAGATCAATATGATTGCCATGGAGATCAAGATATGTGTTCACTATTACTTCAGATCTGATCCAGACAGTATGTTTCCCTTTCAGTGCCTCATTTGTAGCTGTGTACATAGTCATCTATTTATCTATGCAAATATGAACAACTGTTCTGAAACCAAGGTAATCAGCTACAGACAAACCATTTGTTAACACAGAAATATGGCCCACGTATTCTTGCCTTCACACATACAGGGAATAGTTTAAATATGTACCGGTACTCTACAAGTGTACTGTGTTTTCTATTGCTCTGTGGGGGTTAAAGCGTTGGCTCGTCACGCCGAAGACCCGGGTTCGATTCCCGACATGGGTACAATGCGTGAAGCCCATTTCTGGTGTCCCCCGCCGTGATATTGCTGGAATATTGCTAAAAGCGGCGTAAAAGCATACTCACTCACTCACTCACTATTGCTCTATGGAAGAGCTGCCAGGACTTTGTTAATTGGTGCATTCAGGTCCCAAGGACAGGTCATTCCTACATTGAACCTGTTAGACAAGGATCAGTAGTATTTTCATGCATCTAATGTTTATCAAAGTCAAACTTTATAATGTAAAATGTTTAAACGTTTTTGCTTGGTCTGTTCAATTTGACAAGTAATGTTCATAAGTTGGTCAGTTCATGCCAAGATGTGTGTGCGGATATATGTGTACTGTTTTAGTGCAGGTAGTTGCATATTTTTAAAGTAGCATTAATATGTATTTATCTCAGAGAGGGCTTTGTTATCATTACAACAGAACTGCAGTGACCAGAAATTACAATGCATTTGATGAACTATGATTTGAGGAGTTAGTAGTTACCGTACTTCAATTTACCTGTAATTAAGTTGTAACGTTTTATTTTTCCTATCCAGCAAAAGCTCAAGCCAAAAATATTTCAACTACACATATTGTTAGTCTATTCTTGGTGATGTGGCTTTTTATGGTCAGTTGAATCAATAAACCGAAAAATGTTAAAGGTGTCAATATTTATCCCAGTTGAATGCTGTGTGTAGGTGGTCCCCCCTTTGCCTGGAGTGGGTTTGGTGGCCGAGTTCACCAGTTGGTTGTAGCTGTCCCACCATGTCACCGACTACGAGGCACTGCATGGTCCTGGTGCTCAATGAATACTCTACCATATTAGAGTGTATGCCATTTTTCATAGCATGTGTATAAAGTCTATCCATCATTGGTTGTGTGTGTGAATCTGAATGACTGAGCGTATTTATTATGGATTGTCAATAAATTTTGTAGAAACTGATGATTGTGTTGTAACTTACAATGGACATCTTTGGAGTTGAGTTAGTTCAATAGGAGTAGTCTCCCTTGATTGGCTGGACGTAGGCAGGGATACAATTTATCAATTTGATGACAGAATCGTACTACACTTCGGGAGGCAACTCGGTACAGTGAATACTTCCTAGGTAGCTGATTTACATCGGAAGAATCTCCACCTCTTTGACCAAACCCAGCTGTGGAGTGGTGAATACATACTCCACAGCACACAATACACATTCATTCATCAATGTCACGAAGTATACTTTGAAAACACAAAACAAACAACATACTATTTAGTATTTATTCAAAACAAAGTGTATAAAATTTCAAAACTCTAAGTTGATAAAAATTATATTATGCTAGAATTACACTGACACCTTCAAAACAAGAACAAAAACAAATTTATTCAAGGCACAGAAGCTTACATATATCAGTTATTAGGTTATCAACAATATGTCCCATGTCAAGGGAAATACCACCCCCAAAAAGTTCTACCAATGTGGAAGGTTTCCTTTCCGGAGTGTGGACGCTGGAAGAGTAACTACCCCTAAATATACAGGTTATGGACATACACTTTGTCACTGAACACATCAGGTCATGAACCCTCCAGTAAAGGGCACTTGAAGTGAAGAAAATGATGAAATATTTTGCGAATATCAATTTTCCTAGATACATTTAGTCAATTTCCGAGAGAAATATTCATAATATATTTGTAAAATGTTTTGTTAGTTTGTTTGTTGTTTAACGTCGGCCTCAGCAATATTCCAGATATATGACAGCGGTCTGTAAATAATCAAGTCTGGACCAGAAAATCCAGTGATTGACATCATGAGCATCAATCTACAAAACTGGTATACAATGACATGCATCAACCAAGTCATCGAGCCCGACCACCCGATCATGTTAGTATTCTAATGTCTAAGTGAAAGTGCTGAAATAACACATTCCGTAATCATAGCCTAAAGCTACCAGCGCAGCAGTGGCAACTGTTTTCATTGGTTATTTCGTTTGCCATGTTTAAATCTTTTAATTCTTAGCCATTATACATACATGTATACTGTTTCTGCTATTTCTGTTAATCCTACAAAAATAACAACATTGCATACATTGGTGAATGTGTGAAACGACCCTTGATCTTGACATTGTGAATAATTAGGATAAGAATTAAAGATAGGTAATTAGGGTTTTATTACCAACATCCTGTTTCGGTAATAAACCACCAGCTGCCCTCAACATCAGTGTTGTTACTGAGGTGACATAAGTTGTGGGCAAGGTAATCCAATGGATGAGCAGACAAAAGACGTGTACCACAAAATCAGGGAGAAGCAGGCAGACTGCATCAGCATTATCATCATCAATGTTGAAAATGTGCAGTGCGTCAGACACCAGGAACCCATTTTAACCTCCAGTAGGGGAGTTCCTCACCATGGATGAATTTTTCGTTTGAGGTGTGATTTCGGTTCAATCCCATTCTGCCTACATCCCAATTTGCTGACAGAAAATAATGTAGGCACAATGTGAACTCAGTTATATCCCTGTTTGTGTGAATGGACCGAACGACTATTGTTTGACTTATTTTTTTTTAATATCTGTTGCCCAATCAATCAGACTTGTACTGTTGCAGCTTCCTGTATGAAATGTTAGTCACTGAAAGAGTAGAGGAATAAACTACTTATTACTGTTCAAACAAGCCAGTTCTTAAGCTGAGCTGAGATATTAATAAATATGACTGTATTTAAGAGATCAATGCTCTTAACATTAGACTGAATATATATTTATTACTGTATAAACAACAAAATAATATAGAACCAATCACATCAATCGATTATTTTTCAGATCAATACAGTTTAAGTTCTAAGTAATAATATATCCGTGACCTTTATATGTGTTATGGTTGTTATTTCATTTCACAAGTGTTTCCCATTGTCCTACACTGTTTTGTTGTCTCAGTATGGAGTTTATCTCCTATCGCAGGTCAAACAGGAAACAGTCATGTTCACTCATGCATCACTTTCTGAGCATCCGACCGTATCATTTCATGATTTTACTGGAGGCAAAATGGGTCTGTAGGCACTTTGTGAAGACACCGTGATTTCACCTGTCGTTTATTTAAAGATAGAATTACTAAACATCCTTGGACGTATCTTTCAATACAGGAGAAAGGCTATGCTAAATACAGTTTCAAGCAATAAGTAAGCAACAATACAACAAAGCATACATAAGAAATAACAACTTCAATTTTTGTTCACCAGAAAGTTGTGAAATGTGTCTCACATTCAAGTTTGTGTTCCTTGACATTCTCGTTAAAGTCAAATCTTTTACTCTTTTACTCAGAGTGTTATTGTAAATGCTTCAAGTTAAGATGGCGAGATTCAAGTTTCTCTTAAGATGAAGTGTTTAAAGTGTTTGTAACTTGTTTGATAAACAGCCAGCTTCCAAGAGAGAGTTTGTGGATATCAACTTCTTTATAATGAGGAACACATGATGGTATGGTCTTGCTTGTTGATCATGTGTGTTAAAAAATTGCCTTGTGCTTAGGACTTTTTGATTTAATTAATGTGTGCCACCATCTATCTGCAGTGGTAGAAACTAACATTGTTAGTCCACTAGTCCCTATAATGATAACAAATAGAAAACCCTTAAAAATGGCAAACTTCTACAAGTCCTTATGATACCTTACCTATTGGGCAGTTTGGCAAGGACAAAAGGACTAGTGCCAGTTTCTAATGCTGATCTATGACATTACCACCTCCCAACCCCTATCAAGGCTAATTAACCACTGCCCTCCATGTGCCCATAGCTAAGTACCAATCAGTGCTAATTTAACATTTGGCTTCCAATGGTGCACCAATCAGCGATAATTAGCTGTTGGCTTCCCTTGCTATGTTTCCACCGGTTCTTTTTACATGTACATATATGTTCTCTGCACCTCAGCATCATTTACCCGATGAGGGAGCAAGCATAAAGTACAAAACATGTTCCTCATAACAAAGAAGTTGACATCCATAAATTCTCTCTCTCATGTCTTTCACTTCTTCCTATTCAAATACTAGTCAGCCCCCAAGTTAAGATGTGAGATTCAAGTATCAGTTTGACATGTACCGATACCATTTTATAATTTCCATTGCTAAAAACAGCAACTTTTCATGTGAAACAATTTCCTGGTGGGTGTGTTCTGACCACTGTTATCACTAAGGAATCCCGACTGCTTCACGGTGGTTCCTCATGGCATGGGCGTTCCAGTCCAGCTGTGCAATCAATCGGTTTACTCCCTTCATCATGTGATCATTCAGAGGGACGCCCTTTTCATCCAAGGCCTTGTGTACTTCAGGGATACCAAAGATATTGGACACACTCAGACAACCAAGCTCACCCAGAAATGCTCGGAGCTGCATGGCTGACCTCATGCCTCCATAAATACCTGTGGAGACATCAGTCAGTCAGTCCATCATGTCAATGTGTTTTGGTTTGTTGGTTGTTTGATGCCACACTCAGCAATATTCCAGCTATATGACAGTGGTCTGTAAATAATCGTGTCTGGACCAGACAATCCAGTGATTGACATCATTACCACGATCAACGCAAATGGGATATGATGAAATGCATCAACCAAGTCGGCGAGTCTGACCACCTGATCCCATTAGTCGCCTTTTACGACAAGCATCGTCTTTTACGTCAAGCATGGGTTGCTGAAGACCTATTCTACCCCGGATCTTCACGGGTCCAATAAGTTATGGAAAGGGAGGGGTGTATTTTGAGATCACATGTTAACATACAAGTGCTACATGAATGAAAACATTTCCCGCATTTGGTAGTTATTTTATTGTTAAATATATCACCGAATCAGTTAGACACAGTAGTGTAATATGTTCACACTCTCATATTGCATGGAATTTCGAAACCCAAGTATAGAAGCTGATTAACGTAAGGCTAAGAAAAATAAAAGTCTTGGTTCTCAGGCACCGCCCACATCATCATAAAGTCTGACGCACATTTTGTTTTTATTTCCATTTTCAAAACAATAATTTAAAATCCTAATACTTAAAAACAATGTGATCCAAAATAGCACACAGTTACTTCCCTTTACATGTGCAGTGCTTTACTGCGCATCTCATGTTATGGTCATAGCAGCAATAGGAGTTTGTAAGCTTGTTTATGTAGGGAGGCTCTGTCTCAGGTTGATGGTACACAACTGTTTATTTGGTTACATACTAGTTTGAACCAGCAAAAAAAACAACACCTACACGAAATATATTTTCAAAAATCATTGCCTGAGAACCAAATCTTTATTATTTTTTTAAGCCTAATAGAAAGCTTTTGTCTGTTTCCGGCTGCCTACTTCTATGAGAATCCCAAGACGAAAATGTTTCCAATAGTTTGCCAATACCTCCTGCTTTTCCTGCTGAGCACTGAGTTGTATGTGTAACCTTGGTGATCAACACTGTCAACACCTGGTTTGCTTGGAGACCATATCATTCACCGGCCTCAGTGATATCTCGCACACTGCAAACTGTGATGTAACTCACATACCGTATTTGCTACACTACAAAGTGTTCCACTCAAATAAGCTCCCCATGTCCGTCTTCTGCGTCAGCCTGTAAGTAATCTTTACCAGTGCCCCATAGTACCATCGAAAATTTACATGACAGTCCTTACTTTCTGTGCATATGACAGATTGTTTACAGAAAACAAACGAATGTGACTAGGAATATATACTACCAAGTAACTATTATAGAAACATTCATGTTTCATCCATGTCTGAACCAAGTTTGTTTTCTACCACATGATCTCTGACAATATTTTTAATTTCTTGTGTATGGTTTTTATACACACCGTCCTTTGTCAATTTTCTAAATAACCAGGGTGTTTATTACGGCAAATATTGTACTACTCATTCCATCCAACAAGTACTTACCAGGAGAATAACACACTATTCCACTGGGTTTATAGGAATAGCAGCTGCCCCCGAAGTGGTCCATCATATTGCTGAGTGCAGGGGGAATGCTGTGGTTATACTCCGCAGAGACCACCACATAGGCATCTGCCTCCCTCACCTTCGTCTCCGCCTCACACATCCATTTGGGGGCCTCACTCTTGTCCTTGTAGTGGTGCAACGCCTTCTCTAGAAGGGGGAACTTCATCTCCACAGGATCTGTAACATATGTTGTTGTTTTGGGGTTGTTTTTTTGTTTAACGCCACACTCAGCAATATTCCAGCTATATGATGGCGGTCTAAATAATCGTGTCTGGACCAGACAATCCAGTGATTGACATCATGAGCATCGATCTACGCAATTGGGATACGATGACATGCATCAACCAAGTCAGCGAGCCTGATCACCCGATAACATTAGTTGCCTCTTACGACAACTGAAACATAAATACTTACATACAATTCACATGAAACTTGTACTGATTTATTGAATGTTTCAGCTGCATTCTGCTCTTTTAAGTCAAACATGATTTATGCAGTGGATAAAAATGTACTGTGTACATGACACAGTGCTTAACACTTTTGTATTGCCCCATATATAAATTTACTGCAAAATTCAAAAATAACCTTTTGGCACTTAGCAACCAAAGTTGAATTATGCAGTGGATAAAAATTCCCCAACTGTTGACTAAAACATTTATTGTGAAAACATCAAACACTGAAGTACCTTTACTCAAACTGACTCAAACTGAAACTAAGATGCATGACAGGTGATTGATATCATGAGCATGGATCTTCGCAATATTGGTATAGGATGACGCATCAACCAAGTCAGCGAGTCTGATCACCCGTCACGGGCCCATGGATTTCACACAACGGATGGGGGTGTTTTCTTAATTCATGCTAATGTCCCTATTCCTTTTCAGTGTTTTCACATGATTCAGCAGGTTGGTTTTTCCTGACTGTCTTCTCTCATACAACACACTGATATGACTTTGTGAAGAACTGTGATCTGACAGCACGGTCCAGACTCGATTATTTACAGACTGCCTTCATATGGCTGAGTGCGGCGTAACAAACAAACAAAGCACTCCTCGTGTCTTGAGTCCTATCGTATGCCAAGTGTACACATGAAGACATAACATCAGAGACCATATATTATATGGTCTCTGATAACATGAAGGATTTACCGAATACTGCGACTTCGTGGTTGGACTTCTCAAGAACATTCTTCATAAAGCGGGCAACTCGCAGACCCAGTCGGCCCTCTCTGCAAGATCCCAGGAAAAGTACAACTTTCAGTTTCTGTCCCGTTGTTGCCATGTTTCTAGAAAGATTGCTGAAGGCAGCGTACATAACAGTCTATCCCGCTCCAGTTCCCAGCGTGCGGACGTGCGTGAATGTCTGTCTGGGTGACTGAAAAGTAAACATTCAGCTTAGTGAAAAAGTCGAGTCATTGCTAGGTGTGTCCAGAGATTGTCTCCCTTGGTTGCAGTTTCTCGCCCGAGACGAAACCAGCGCCATTTCAATATTTATTCCCTAATTTTATGATGCCAATAATGTATTTATTGGTATCACAAGAAGGAGTCACATAAGGCCTCGCTGTACGCTGGCACGATAAACATACTGTGTTTTCAATGTAGAGCCGCGTTACCTGTAGATTTAACCGCGCAAATTTGATTTGGAACCGAACGTGCAGATGTTTCAAATTTTAAATTTGGCGCGATTAAATCTACAGGTAACCTAGCCCTACATTGAAAACACAGTATGTTTATCTCCTATAGATATTGAAGTAAATTCTTTATTAAACAAAACATTTTTCAAAACAATGGTTACTTCCATTCTACCATGACTTAACATAACGCAAACTCTTTGGTGTTAGCAAATATTTTGAGTGAAGCGGCATGGGTTGAGTCCAGTGTTTTGAGTGGGTTGTCGATCGGAATTACGGACAACGTACAGTCTACAAAATATAGCGATCAATATGGTCAAGCAGTTTGTTTACACCGTAATATTTCACTCGAACATATGACAGGCATTGAAAGCATATGCGCACGGCAACTTCGTTATTACTAATTAGCTAGGTATAGGGCATGGACGGTGAACACCCCTAAAGAAAACAGCAAGTCTTGTTCTACACCGCACGTCACCATCATTACAGGGTTAGAAACTTACAGTTTTCGTACACTAGTCCTTATAATGATAACATATGGCAAAACGCTTAAAAAGGGCACATTTCTACTAGTCCTTATGCTACCTTTACCAGCATGAATGGTAGTTTGGCAAGGACTATGTACAGGACTAGTGCCAATTTCTAACGCTGTCATTAATATAAGGATAAAGCTATTTTTTAGGGCATTAGCATTTGCAGAAGCTCGAGGTCTTCCATTAACTGCCCGACGAAGGAGGGCGGTTGAAAAAAGACCGAGGGCTTCTGCAAATGATAAAGCCCTGAAAAATAGCGTTACCGTTATTATAGCTAAAAATGGATGGAATTTGTTATCAGATTAAAAAGAAACAACAATATCGGCTTGGAAACATTTACTGCAATCAGAGACCATAGGTCTCTGCTGCAATCAACACGAATGGCACTGACTCACTCTCCTACCCAGAGTTCCATGCGGCCGGCAGCCAGCATATAGACCTCTCCCACAGGCCAGCGCCTTATTGTTACTGTTTACTGTTCATTAAGAAAGTATCCTAATAAGTGAAAATCTACTTGTTTTGCATAGTTATCTTTTGTTTACATTGGCTGTACGGTTCCACGTGCTGTCATCGAAGCCCAACGGAGAGCTAGCGATACGGTCACTTTGATGTTTAAATATATATTGTCATGCAACTCACTCACACTCCGGCGCTTTTTCAGAAATCAGAATAGTAAAAGGGTAACGCTATTTTTCAGGGTCCTTCGTCGGGCAGTTAATGGAAGACCTCGGGCTTCTGCAAATGATAAAGACCTGACAAATAGTGTTACCGTTATTGTAGCTAAAATGGATGGAATTTGTTATCAAATAAAAAGAAACAACAATATCGGTTTTGAAACATTTACTGCGATCAACACGAATGTCACTGACCCACTTTTACAAATATGGAAACGTCATAGAACAGACCAGATGACGTCACTATTGAACGTGACGTAACGTATCCCTATCCTGTGACGTCACCTAACAACGGGCGTGAGAATGGCCCGTCGTCAAGTAATATGAGGGCATTATCAAGTTACAGTGGCCCACTCATTTCTGATAACATACGGGCGTTTTAATGATAATTCTATCCGTTTTAGCTTTAAAACAGACTAATGTAAGTATTTGGGGGCGCTTTACATATTGTTTTGCATAATTTTGTAGATATGCTACTAAGGACTTACCACTGCGCCGGAGTGTTTCACTGACCCATTTTTAAAAATATGGAAACGTCAGAAAACTAACCAGATGACGTCACTATTGAACGTGACGTCACCTAACTACGGGCGTGATAATGGCCCGTCGTCAAGCCATATGAGGGCATTATCAAGTTACAGTGGCCCGCTCATTTCTGATAACATGCGGGCGGTTTAATGATAATTCTATCCATTTTAGCTATAATGTCAGATAGATGGTGGTTGACGGGGTCGTCCTCCATTGATCTGAGGCGGGGAAGGGCGCATTATTACAATTCGGCTTTTGAAAGCTTTTCGGTATATATTTGATCTTCTAAAACAAGCGCTTTATCTGTAAACACATGAATCGTTCCAACTATAAACACAGTCAATAACTCTGAATAACTCGTTTATATCATAAAGTGTATTTTTATGAATGTATGTCGGTATGCCTCGTTTATATCATAAAACGATACGCATTTACGGTTTTACCGCACTCACGGGTAATCCGTCGATTTGGCACTCCCGGTACCAACAACAGAATCTCTTGATTTATGAGTTCGGCACTGCCGGTGTCCCGGTATAAACTCTCCCCCGTACAAATTCTCCCCCCGGAGATTTTATACCGGTACAGATTCTCCCCCGGAGAATCTGTTCTGAAATAAAATCTCCCCCGGGCGGATATGTTTCGCGCCCCCCTCAGTATAAAGTCTCCCCCCTGATTATTCGGTTTGTTGCAATGTCTTTAAGTACTATATTCTTTAAATAGTTATCTTTAATGTAAGGAGGGTTACTTTAAAAAATAGATTATGAAATATGGTCATAATGAATTGATATTTCAGCATATTTTATTTGGTAAATGTACCTTCCATCCTAAAATAATTATAAGACATAATCATACCAAACAAATTTGAATGAAATGACTTAATGTAACAAATACATGTACGCTTACTGTTGTAACAGAATTCAGAAACCTTTAAATCCTCGCAAACATTCGGTTTTAACACTAACTACGTAAAAACTGTCAATATATCCACGCGCGCCTCCAGCCCAGGCTGTCCGTTAATACTCTGATTTTAGATCTAAAATATATTCCTTAATACAGGCTACGATATGAAAATGGTATCAGTGTAATATCAGTGGCTAGAATATCATGGTGCAAGCAGGTTTCTGTTAAACATACAACATCATAACTATCTAATTCAGCACTGATAAAATCTACTTTGTCTTTAAGACTGCGTACGTTTAGATATATAATCTTTAAATCTGGACTATGCAAAGGTCCTGGATTCGGATGGATATCATCGCAGCCGAAGAGAAAAAGTAAAACTAAGAATGATAATCGGAAATTATATAAGCAAAGTAACCCAAAAAATAATGAAATGTGTATCATCTTCCCGAAATGATTAGCATGTAGAATAGATTCAAAAACACCCACTATCAGCCTGTATTGAACAACATCAACCGGCATCGACAAAGCAAAGTGATCATGTAATTGTTACAATCGGGCTGGCGGTGAATCTGAGAAGGGATTCATACGTTATATACAACTTAAAAAAAATATGATTATGAAAAACGAAAGGAAAAGTGCCCTCCCACACCTGAAAAGAAACACCCCCCGCAAAATCAATAAAAATAAAAATAAACAAATAAAAACAAACAACCACACACACAAGTAACTAAATGTATATTTAGATTAATATATAACCCAGAAAAAATAAAGGAGAGAAAAAAATAAATAAAAAATACATAAACAAATAAACATTAAAACCTAGAGGAATATGAAAATGTGTAATGCTAAAGCACGAAGACACGATAAACTGTACCAACATTACAATGTTCCCCGTTATGCATGCTTTACCTGGATTACATACGGGTGATCTAAGTTAGAAATATATGACTGATATAAATTCTTTAAACACGGTAATATCGAATATGCTTGGATTATCTTTTTTTTCAAATGTGCTCCATTCAAGAAAAGTTATATAGAATTATATATTTACTCTCCCCCATGTATTTTGCTCTTTTATGTAAAAGCTTTTTCACCTTACACATTTTAATTACAGATTCCTATGTTTTGATTTTAATGCAAACAAACCAGGCTTTTGAAATGCTATACAAAAACTATGCTTAAAAGTTTACAGAGTTTGTTGTTTCTAATACAGTTTTTGTTGTCTGTATACATTTTTTTAATATACCAGTTTGAGTCTACGTGTGAACACAATCGATGGTTGAAATGTAAGTCTAAGAACAAAACATGAACTAATTCTCAAGAACTCTGATGTATAAAGTTACCTTCATCTTTGATTGACTGATGTATTTTCAATCTTTATTCAGCACTGAAGAGGCCACAGGCCTATAGTACGAAGCATTAAGTTTATGAATAATCAGCATTGATTTTGACTCCATAAACTGTCATAAAGTATTCATAAAGTATCAGGGGTCATTTCAACTTGCAAAATTATTGACATACCCCTTTATAGAGCGAGGATTGGGCTGTTTTCCCACCCGATTGACTGATATTACAACATTCACATGGTTTAGAACGGTACAATGAATGGTAAAGCATGCAAATTACACTAATACACGATATTTCATAAGAAAACATCATATCTCCGTTAAAACATAAAACTAATATTTATGAATCTACATATTGATATAAGACTTTATCACTGTATCCAATCCCAAAATAGATATAAACTTTCGGACAGTTCAGTTCAAAATTCTTCAACCTTTAATACATCACAGGATTTGTAGCTAGACGACGGGAATCTACAGTCTTGACTGTGTGTTTTCTTTGATGAGAATGTTTCTCACCGACCTTAGCGTGTAGGGGTGTGATATCCTGGGCAGGAAATGACAGTGTTTTGACATTAATTAACGTGTTGGACATCCCTAATTACCCTTTACTAATTCATGTTAAACCAACACAGGATGTTTTCTGGAAGTGGACAATCGCGAATGCCATAGGGCTGACACGACACGTGTTAATAACTGTCCTAGAACTTCTAAAGTTACTAAACAATCTTTATACCTAACGACTAGCATATAAACTAAACATCGTCTCTATCAGAAGCCAGCTAAACAACCAAACAATCAAATTTCAAAAACAAAACAAATTCTTAGGACTTATTTTCGATGAACATCTCACCTGGGATGCTCACATCCAAAACCTAACTAAATGCAGTAAAGACCTAAACACCCTAAGATGCCTAACTGGCTCTAACTGGGGAGTTTGAATACTATTCCTGTTGTTTTTTCTGAGTTAAGGGAGAAGCCCCATTTGTCAGCCCATTGTTGTATTTTATTTAGAGATTTTTGGAGTAAATTTTGGGCCATTTTAATGCTTTTAGTGCAGATCATCCGCGAATTTTGATGTGTTTAGTTTAGGGGATAGGCCATCGAATAGATCGTTTATCATTATATTGAAGAGGGTGGGGCTGAGGATACTGCCACAAAACGACCGCCACAACACGACCCTCATCCAAGCACCCTACAGCCCACATGGCAACAACACTCCCCCACAAGCAAGCACAACAACAAAACACAAACACTAAGAAATCCACAGCTACACCCATCCCGCAAACACCTACACAACTCTCCACATCACATGCCTCCCCTATGGAAACTCAAACAGCTAAACCTAATCTTACCGATGACGAAGATTTCCTCCACTACTGAGGAAACAATAGACACTACTTCAACTAAAACAAACCAAACTTCCCTCTCAGCCCCAAAAAGGAAGAAAAAACTAAACCGCAATTCTCCCCAACCAGCTAACACCCAAAACCTAAATAACCCCACCTTACTCCTAGTATACATGCATAGTCCAAACTCACCAAAAGCTAGCATGAAATCCTTTCACAAAGTAGCTTTCAATCTAAAATTAACCCATCTTCCCTTCTTCCTCTTTAACCTCCATCTAAAAGAAGTCACCGAATAAACTAAAAACTAAAAACTAAATCACCAATCACCAATCACCCGAACCCAATAATGGAAGGACTAAATATTTTTCAGTGGAACACCAACGGACTCACCTCTCACGGCCATAAACTAAAAACGAAATTTAAACTAAATAAAGGCCCTCACATTGATTGTATCCAGGAAACCAAATTCTCAAAAAAAATCCAAATTCACACTACCTAACTACAACTCAGTTAGAACTGACAGAGCTAAACCAAAAACAAGAAGAGCCGCAGGAGGACTAATCATATTTATCAGGGAAGATATAAATTACGAAGAAATAAAAATAGACACGCCAAACCTAGAAGCCAACGGCATTAAAATCACATTATATAACCGAAAAATAAACATCATAAATATATACCACTGGGCGGAACAAAAGTCCAACTTGAGGATCTAAACAAACTACTCAAAATAAGCGATACATCTACTATATTCCCAGGAGACTTTAACGCTCACCATCCTACATGGAGCATAGATGATAAAATATATAATCATGGCAAATTAATTTCCGAATGGATAGAAACAAACGACCTAGTACTCCTAAATAACAACCAACCCACGAGGTACGATAAGATAAACCAAAAAATGTCGGCTATCGACCTAACCATATGCACCGCAGATCTAGCTCAAAGTACTCAATGGGAAATGCACGACGTCCCTCTAGGTAGTGACCACTTCCCCATAAACATAACCATAGGAAATACAAACGTACCAATCCAAACAGAAAACCAAGAACCAAAATTCCATTACAATAAAGCTAACTGGGACCAATTCCAAGATATCTGCAACGAAGCTAACTTAAACGAAATAGAAAATAATGATCCAGAAACCTATTGTAGAAACCTAACAGACTATATAATAAACAGAGCCAGAACCTCCATCCCCTTCAAAACATCTAAGACAGGCTAGGCAAACCCACGGTACCATGGTGGAATGAGGAAATAGAACAGACTAGACGAAAACGTAAATCAGCCTTAAATAAAGCAAAACGCGACTACAAACATCTAAACATAGCCCACGAACTAAACCTCCAGGTTAAAAAACTAGTCCAACTAGCCAAGGTATAAATAACCGTACAGATGCCAGAACGGTCTGGCGCAAAATCCAAGCTATTAGAGGCTTAAAACGACATAAAAATACCCTAACATTAACAACTCAACCAACCCCGCCCAAAAAGCAAATAATCTCGCCAAACACTTTTCGGCCGTTAGCAGTAACACCAACTTCAGCCAAAAATTCCAAGATAAACTTAAAACAAAAAACAAACCCACAAAAGAACCAAACAATAACAATCTAGAAATAAACCAATCCTTCACAATGGAGGAGCTCCTCTATGTAATCCAAAACAGGAAAAAGGGCACAGCCTTTACCAAACTTCTTACCAAATAATTAAAAATCTCCCGCTAAAACTACTCCAGGCACTACTCAAACTATACAATCTCATCTACCTAAACGGACAGGTTCCTACTCCCTGGAAACAGGCCCTAGTCATACCAATCCCTAAACCTAATAAACCAGCCAATCAAGCTAACTCATATAGACCAATATCCCTAACTTCAAACTTATGCAAAGTAATGGAATCAATGGCTAAAAATAGATTACAACATTACCTAACCCAAAATAACATCAACTATTGAACTGCATGGCAAGTATTTATAAAACGACCGGGGGGGGAAATATTCTGGGGGGAGACTTTATTTCGTAGGGTGGGGGAGAGTTTATTTCGAGAGGGGCGGAACTGTACCGGTATAAATTCGCCGGGGGGAGATTTTATTCTGGGGGCGAATATATTTCGTGACACCGGGACTATCTGAAATTCAGATTTGGCGTTCCCGGCCCATAACCGCAGGCAGGTATGCGACAACATTTCCTTGCGCCGTGTTGATCCTCTACCAGCTAGCTGCGTTCAAAGAAAACGTCACACTTTCATTCGTACATCCTTCGGCGTCGTTGTTGGTTCTTGTCACTTGATAGAAGTCAGTCGTGATGAAGGAAATATGTCTATACACTGTTTTGGAACACAGGATGACTTCACGTTTCTGTCGATAAAGACATGACTTTCTTTTATTTAAGAGCGGTGTGCATACTGTCAAGTCGTGAGAGTGGCTTCCCTTTGATTGTTCACACATGTGTTTTTTTGTTTTGGTTGATCTTTTCAGACTGTTCAGTAACTAATGATCAGTCAAATAGTTTTGTCTCATATTGGTACGGATTTGAGACTCATTATGTATTTTTCTTAAAATCATCAACATGAGACAGGTCAAATTGTGACAACTTTGATATCGTAGGCAGATCACAAGATTCGGTAAGTTTACCGTTGATATTAACACTGACCAACCCCCCCCCCACCCCCCAACCCCCAACCCCACCCCCCGCCGCCGTGTTCAGTGTAAAAATAACCTGTGCTATTTTGACCAGATTATCAAGATTAGTATATCTTACGTCATGTTCTGTTGTTAAGTCTCGTAACACATATTTCAACAGATATTATGTTCTATTAAGACTGCTTTGGTGTATACTGAGGTAGATTAAGAATTTTCTATAAGAACAATCTATAAATATGTTTTATCAGGAATGGCATTCTATTCTAGAAAACAGTTCAAGGTATGACTTGTACAGAACCTTTAAGAGTCTCATTCAACCAGAAAAATACTTATCACATTAACATCAAGAACCCTTCGATGTCCATTTATTCAATTTAGGCTTGGATTGTTAGATCTCATGATAAATGAAGGAAGAATAATGTCCACTGAAAGGTCAAAGAGGCTGTGCAATTATGTCATTCAGCTATAGAAAATGAAATTCATTTTACTTTTGTATGTCCTTATTATATTGTGATAGATAAGAGGAAAGTTTATACCAGAACGCTATCTGTCAAATTATCCTGAACCTGCTTTTATTTCTCTCCTTTCTTCAAAAGATATTATAACTGGCTATATATGTTAAAAATACACTTTCCCTCAGAAACAAATTGTTGAACATGAGTATATATCCAAATATGTAAAACTACTTATTTATAACTCTCTTGTTTATATGCCAGAGGCCTTACCTGCAATAAATATCTTTGACTCTTTGACACAAGTAACAAAATGAACGAAAACAGGTGTCAGAAAAGAAACCTGGTAACTGCTCAACCCTTGCACACCATCTCCGGATCTGCTAGTGCTGAGATCTTGTAGATTAAGGTAAAACATGGTCAAGTGCATTGTGTCCTCTTTACTTACTGGCACTGTTGTGTGCAATTGCAAGGTTAAAATAGGGCAATAAATCATTGTTATATTGTTATTGAGCTAATAGTTATACAACACTTTTTAATGGTAATCTCAGATATCTTGTATCAGTATTTCCAGATCAGCTGAGATCATGGCATTTGTGTCAGCAGCAAGAGTTGCCCTGCATAATGTCCTTCACCTTCATGGTCAAGTGAGGCTGCTGAGGCTGACCTACAGGAAGGCCAGTTTGCATGGAGTGTGCATTTCCCATGTGCGCTGTCTTGCATCAACGAAGAACGGTCCAAGTATCGGCAACAGTCTTCATAATGATACGACCTGTAACACGGATAAGATGACTCCAGATCAATCTCCCACTTCTATGGAACCACCTGGCATCCGCCATGTTGAAGAAACTGAGGCTGATTCTACAAACTCTATGCCATCGGCTAATGTAAGCCAAGCCCTGAACAGACGATTTGGTATGGAGAATCTGGATCACTTACATCTGGAGCAGACATCGAGTGATGGCACAGACAGTGATTCTGATGATGAAATAAAGTCATCATGGACATTTGAAGAAGAAAATAAAAGTGTAGAATTATCTAATGCAGATTTGGATAGAACAAATTTAAGACAGATTTCACAACATGTGGTGGAACCACAATACCATTTAGCTGCTTATGTCAGTGAATCCGAAACTCTCTCCCAGCTTGTGAGACTGGGTGTTGATCTGACTCAGCTTCAGAGAGTTAAGGGTGCGGCTGATATGATCATTAAGCTGGATTTTGAGACACAGGTTAAACCATACCTGTTATTTTTGCATGATATTGGTGTGACTGATTCTCACCTAGGAAATTACATTTCTAAGAACCCTAACATCTTTAATGAAGACTTAGAGGACTTGAGAGTGAGGATAAACTATTTGGAATCAAAGAAATTTTCAAAAGAGTCAATAGCCCGCATTGTATCAAAGGCTCATGTGTTCATACTGATGCCAGTAAAGATGGTCGATGCCAAGCTTGGGTACTTGCAGCAGGAGTACCGACTGACAGGTAATTAGATGGGGACCAGTTTAACATCATCCTTGATAGTCAAGTATATTAGCATGTTTACATCTCTTTTCTGTCAAGAAAGATACCCTGGAACCATTCTCAACTATAGCTTTGTTGTGAACCATGCTTAAAAGACACGCCGAAGACCCGGGTTTGATTCCCGACATGGGTACAATGTGTGAAGCCCATTTCTGGTGACCCCCGCCGTGATATTGCTGGAATATTGCTAAAAGCGGCGTAAAACCATACTCACTCACTCACTCACTTAAAAGACACTTCACTAAGAATAGACGTGCAAACAGATTACATTGATGAGTGAGAGAAATCCTGTGCCAAGAGAGATGGAGATGGTCAGGTCCCTTCTGAAAAGAAGCTTTGGTGGTGAATGGGTCCAGGTATTTCTCCAACAGAATGGAGGATTGGTGTAACCTGCATTATCTGCTGGAGTATGACTGTGTTGATGTTTTCTGTATTAAACTTAATGTAAATAGTTTGATGTATTGTTTGTACAACTTGTGTGTTCAGAGATTTACAGTATTTGTTTGAATGTGCCCATATTGCTGCCATGGTTACAGCACTGGTGGGAACCATGATGCTTGTTGAGTAAAGACTTTGAATGATATTAGTTGAAATGTAGAGATATTTGACAACTGAAGAAGCATAGTATAGTATAACACCACACTCAGCAATAATCCAGCTATATGAAAGCGGTCTGTAAAAAAATCGAGTCTGTACCAGACAATCCAGTGTTTGATATTATGAGCATCGATCCCTGCCACCACTGAGCCTGACAAGCCAATCCAGTTAGTTGCTTGTTACAACCGGGAGAGGTTGCCAGGGAACAATTTTGGGGATGGGGATTTCATTTTGTGGTTGAAGAAAACCCAGAATTTGTATTTACCAGAAAAGAAATGCCAGTTTTATGTACTTAATTATATGCTATCTACAAAAATTGCCATAGGCTTTCCCATCCCACAGGACTCACACCTTTTGCATCCGCTCACAATATTCTTCGCCCGGTAAGAATGTGTATGTAGGAGTTGTTACAGTATGATGATGTTAGAAGTCTGTTCCTGCTGTGTGTTGTCAGGGAACGAGGTGAGGGCTGTGATCACAAGACTGCCTAAGCTGGCCACATGGAATCTCCAAAAACTCAAGGTAAGTGGTTGTACGAACATCAGTGACCATGGTGACATCCTCTAGGTTTAACCTTTTTGTCCTCCTGAGGTTTTGTTTTCCAAACATGCTGCCCACAACAACCTGACCGCCGTCACAGTAGGGCTGGGACAAGTCCAAATTTACTACCCGGGTACCCATCCCCCTATTACCTGACCCTACCCAGGTACCCACTGTAGGTCTCATGAGATGGAGGGCGGTCGGGTAGCCTAGTGGTTAAAGCGTTCGCTCGTCACGCCGAAGACCAGGGTTCTATTCCCGACATGGGTACAATATGTGAAGCCCATTTCTGGTGTCCCCCGCTGTGATATTGCTGGAATATTGCTAAAAGCGGCGTAAAACCATACTCACTCACTCTCATGAGATGGGTACAAAATGTCCGATTGGGAATAGTTTGGGACACCTGTCAAAATGTATTTAGATACACGTATAGACCAATCTGGTCATGCATACACTGAAGTTGACTGTAGTTTTAACTTTATGCAAACATGTTAAGTCAGAAAGAATGGGTGCATAGTCAGAAAGATATGCAAACATTAGTGACTTGTAGTGAAACCATAGAGTAGTCCTGTGCGTACCTGGGTCCAACTCGTTACCCACCCGACCCGAGTACCTGAGTTACCCGTCCCAGCCCTACACAGGAGCTATGTTGGAAGTATTAGTATGGCCCCATTCTGGTATCAGTGTGTAATGTATCAAATGTCATATAAAGCAGTTTCATATTCAACAAGAAAATAAAACATTGAAACTCCTTTGTATGTGATGCAATCTCATTATGATCCGATCTTAGTTCTCGCTAAGGCTGAACAAAGATCTGATGACATCCCATTACGGGTCACGCCAGAACGACCTTTCATCCAAACAATCAAAGTGTCGCTTACCAGATCGTGAAAGTGACAGACGGAATATGTTTTCTAATCATGAAACCTAGAAAACGTTAACACAGGGTATTTGGAATGACTGTTGTTGCCCGTACGACTGATTCTGTCAAAATTATCGTCTATCTCTCGCTTCCAGGGGATAAAAAGTTGAACGGAGGAGGCGTTGCGCAGTATGGGAGAAGCACTGCCATACAATCGCAACCATATATTAGACATTCCGGAATGTTCTTTTGTTCAGTTTTCAAATTTTTATCAAGAACTGTGTCAACATATTTTTCAAGTGTACTCTGAAATGGAAATCGCCAGGTTGAGTTCCGTAAAGCTTGAGAAAGCTGCTTTCTAATGGGCTGATGTCGACAAAGTTCGGGAAAGTTTGTTCTGACGTGACCCGTAATGGGAAGTCCTAAGATCTTTGTTCAGCGGCAGCGAGAACTTAGATCTCATTTTAATGAGATTGTATGTGATGTGAAAATTTGTGAGGATGATCACCCAAAGGTTTCCATAGACTTGATCATCAACTTTGCAAGATCAGATCCAGACTTTTGTAGAATGTCAACCTAGTAGCCTCATTGAAAGTGTTGCTATGAATAGTTTGGAAAATGTTGCATGTGCAAATCTCACATTGATTTTCAGATACAAGGGTTTAAAATTCTTTGTTTGTTTGTTGTTTAACGCCGCACTCAGCAATATTCCAGCTATACGACGGCAGTCTGTAAATAATCAAGTCTGGACCAGACAATCAAGTGATTGACATCATGAGCATCGATCCACGCAATTGGGATACGATGACATGCATCAACCAAGTCAACGAGCCTGACCACCCGATCCCGTTAGTCGTCTCTTATGAAATTCTTTGCAGTAGAGTGTCGAGGACACATTTAAGTATTTTTTTTGTTTAAGTTTTGTTAAGCAGTAGATTTGAAAGTGATTTGAATGAGATTGGTAACCATAGAAACAACTGTCATGTGTGTTGCAGGATAACAGATTCTACATCAAGGAATTCCTTGGATTTTCTGATGCAGAATTAAAACAGATGCTTGTGAAATATCCCAAGTTATTTTTGACCAGTAAGTATTTCACTGAAATGTAATCCATTACTTTGTATAAAAATGAAATTAGAATTTCTATGTCACGATGTGTGAAGCCATTGTTGAAAGATGACTAACACGTCTTGTTTGGTTCTCGAGTTGTTCACTTTAACATGTTTAATGGTGGCTGTTAAACATGACATGTGATGAGGTTTCATACGTACATATTGCACGGTTAGAAGTAAATGATCTGCCGTCAAGTTTTCATCTACCCAAAAGTAAAAGTGGTAGTCCAAAGCCCTCCCTGAAGTTCAGTAATCTCAGACACTGGACTTGTGTTCAAGCCCTGCATCACATACACACTTGTCTGTGAAGATGCTAATGCACAGTCGAAGATGCCAGCAACATGTGGTTTGGTACAGATGCGACAGTGGATTTTCTTTCCCATTTGTTGATCCCGTGACTAAGGACACACTGAAGGACAGAACAGCCACTGTCAATCTCATTGTCAGGGTGACATGTTGACAAGTATGCAAAGTCAGCATCCCCCAATTACCAGCTGACAGCGAATGGGGAGTCGAGAAATGTATAGAGGGCTTGTGATGTCTCTAGCCAGGTCTTTCCACGTCTGCTGCAGAACAAAGACATTTTGTAAGGATTGCATGTCCTGTGTCACATGATTAGCAAGAGTCTAAAATGACGGGAGGTCTCTCGTAGCGGAATATAGATTATTATCATGATATAGCTGTCATATTGCTGACTGTGGCATAAAACAACATTAATGGATGTCTGGTAGCCTAGTGGTTAAAGTGTGGATCGTCACACCTAAGAGTTAGGTTTAATTCCAAATATGGTATATTGTGTCCAATCTCATTAAAATCATATCTTAATTCTCGCTACCGCTAAACCAAAGATCTTAGGACATCCCATTACGGGTCAAGTCAGAACGACATTTCATCCGACCAATCACAGCATCCCTTACCAGATCACGAAAGTGACAGTCGGAAAGTGTTTCCTAATCATGTAAACTTGAAAAAGTTAACAGGGAGTATTCCAAACGACAGATACAGGCTTTATGACTAAATCTAAGCCAATTATTAGCCATTCCAGAATGTTCTGTTTTCAAAATTTTAATTGAGAATTTGTCAAAATTTGTTTTGAAGCGTAGTCACCAGTTTCAAACTAGTGCTGTAAAGCATGAGAAAGCAGCCTTCTGATTGGCAAGTGTCAACCTCTTGTCAGTCATTCCATTGGTCGGTCAGGGTTTTCAAAAGATTGATCTGACGTGACCTAATTGAATGTCCTCAGATCTTTGTTTAGCGTCAGCGAAAAATAAGATCTGATTTTAATGAAATTGTGTATCCAGCCTGTTCTTGGTGTCCCCTGCAATTAGGAATGTCAAAAGTGGTGTAAAACTTCACTCACTCACTCACTATATTTCAGGCAAGCATGACCTAGGTAGAAAGTTTGACTACCTGTACAACACGATGGAGATGTCCCACAACACATTGGTGGAGTGGCCACAGGTGTTCCGCTGTCGTCTCCACATCATCAAACAGAGGCATCAGTTCCTGCTGAGTGTGGACCGGGCTCAGTACAACCCCACCAAGGAGAACTATGTTTCACTGCATGCTCTAGTCACAGGCTACGACCTGGCCTTCTGTGAAAATGTGGCCAAAGCCTCGGTGATTCAATACAACAACTTTCTGAAATCAATTTAGTTTGCATTGTGGCAGCATTGATTATCCAGTGCATTATATCTCCATTCTATTTTGATAATCCCCAGGACCAATTTGCTACAAAAGCTTCATTATGAGCGCATTTTGAAAGGCACAAAACTAAAAAAGCCGTGTATTAATGAAATTACATGAGCAAAGGATATTATGTACTAAGTCAGGGCTCCTTTTAGCTATATAAAACATACACAAGGGCAACCTATTATCCCCTGCCATGAAGTGGGGTGGGGGGTATAGGAACGGAGTTCGTCCATCTGTCTTTCCATCCATCCGTCTGCTTATCAAAAGGGAAATCTTTTCTCAAACACTATTTAAGTTAGAGAAATGAAATTTTTCTCTCTGATATTACAGGTCATGATCTTAAATGAGTTAACAAATTGTTGCTAAAATTCATGTTTTACAGAGATATGCCCCTTGCTCTGTGCTTTTCAACTTAGTGCATACTGTGTGAAATGGGGACAGGTTTTCTCAGAACTACTGAAATCACATGAATGAAAGTTTGCACGCTTATCTAAGAGATACTTGTCAAGAAAATTAAAAATTGGTGCCTGAAAATTGTTTGTTTTTTATCAGAGTTATGGCCCTCGCCCATGCTTTTCAACTGAGTGCATACTGCATGAAATGGATTGAAGTCAGTTTAACTAAAAGATAATTACCAGGACTGAGTTGGAGAATTGGTGCCATAAAATTATTTTGTCCAGGGAAAGGACCTTTTTGGTGTTTTAATTTCACATTTAATCATTCTTTCTGATGACAAAGCAACCCTAGTGCCTATCTCTTCTCAAGGCTATACAGGACTTTTATTCATAGTTTATCTTCACCATTATATGAACAAATAAAATTTTAACGGCTCCATGGTGGGGTATAGTGAGAACGCTGTTTTCGTGTTGAAAAATGCAACCCAAAATTTATGTCTACCAGTGCCAAGCGCACGCAAAAAAGATTATGTGCACATGTTCCTATTATGGTTTACAGCAATACGTCATTAATGTAGGTGGCACTGTCAGCAGACTGGCCTATTTTTCAACTTAAATAAAATTATGGGATGCATCCTGGTTTTTGTGTCAACATGCACCTGGTGCAAGTTAAATCAAGTTCCTTAAATGGAACGCTGTCAGTTAGAGATAGGAGTGATGAAGGCGGGGATATCACGTCTGTGGTGGCGCTGACGTCCATATTTATAACAGAATGGGTGATCCAAGCTGGTATTGTGGTTGAAAGTAGGGCTGGAATGAGTCCAAATTTACTACCCGGGTACCCAACCCCCTATTACCCGACCCTCTCTGTATACCCGCTGTAGGTCTCAAGAGATAGGTACTAAATGTCCAATGGGGAATAGTTTTTGACAGTAGCCCTGGACAAAATGTATTTTGATACACGTATAAAATGATCTGGTCGTGCATACACTGAAGTTGACTGAAGTTTTATCTTTATTCAAACATATGAAAGTCAGAAGGAATGGGTGCATAGTCAGGAAGAAATGTGAACATTAGTGACTTGTAGTGTAACCATAGTGTTCTAGATCAATTTTGTCATTAAACAATATATCACATGACTAACCACGGGTCCGGGTAGTCCTGTGGGTACCCGGGTCCTTCTCAGTACCCACCCGACCCGAGTACCTGAGTTACCCATCCCAGTCCTAGTAGAAAGACAGTGTGTGTACGTCAATATATTGAGAAAAACGCCAGCAGCTGAAAGGAACCTCAGTTAACAAGAGTGAGTGAGTGAGTGAGTGAGTATGGTTTTACGTCGCTTTTAGCAATATTCCAGCAATATCACGGCGGGGGACACCATAAATTGGCTTCACACAATGTACCCATGTTGGGAATCGAACCCGGGTCTTCGGCGTGATGAGCGAACGCTTTAACCTCTAGGCTACCTGACCGCCCCTAGTTAACCAGAACTTAGCTGCTGAGAAGGTCTGCATAAATGGAACAAGACATTACTGCATACTGCAACTAGGATTCCGTAATCCAGAAAGAGTGTAGATCCAGACGATTTTACTGTCAACTGTACGCATGGATAGACAGGGTTTCATTGGAATCAACATAACTTGTGTGATGCACTGAGATACATGTGGTCAGTGACAGTTGGACATTTTTGTATGTGAAAAGTAATAAAGTTATGTTGACATTTGTTTTCTCATTTCTTCAGTAGGCATATCAGTGTATGGCAATGTGTGATGACTTCAACACCCGTCAGAGACAGGCCATTGGGTAAACGACACAGATTTTTTTTAGACAAGGTTTGTCACTGATGACCTTCCTTCCTTTATTTTCCCTTTGGAGGGCACGGGTGGCCCAGTCGTCTAAGGTGCCACGATTCGCTGTGCAGAGTTGCGTCCCTTGGGCACGCAAGAAACCTATGATTGTGGGTTCGAATCCCAGTTCGCCCCGATTGTGTTTCTAGGTTTGTCTGCACCATACCCGTGCTCGTGGGTTTCACCGAAGTGGTAAACATCTGGGACCTGCATCACTTCAGGCTTTTCTCCCACATTTAGCCGACATGCCGCGATATAACTGGAATACTGTTAAAAGCGGCGTTAAACCCAACTCAGTCACTCACTATTTTCCCTTTGTGAAGGTCAGATTTGTGCCTGGACTAATGCAACCCAACATGGCCATGGATGGCAACCTTGACATCTGGAAGGACTATTATTCAGAAGTGTCCATATGGACTTGTTACCATGGTACCAAATAAAAAATCATTCACAAACAAATACTTTTCCGAATGTTTACTGTGAAAAAAGTATGTAAAAATCAAACATGATATACACAAACATGTAGATACACAAAGGGAAAACTGTTTCTAAAACCAGCGTATGAGGATTGCCACAAAAAGTCACCAGTTCCTAGACTGATGGTAAACACCAAGAGTAACGCTGGTTGAGGAGTGAGTGAGTGAGTATGGTTTTATGCCGCTTTTAGCAATATTCCAGCAATATCACGGCGGGCGACGCCAGAAATGGGCTTCACACATTGTACCCATGTCGGGAATCGAACCTGGGTCTTCGGCGTGACGAGCTGACGCTTTAACCACTAGGCTACCCGACCGCCCCACTGGTTGAGGAAGGAGTAGTACTGTATTAATGCTTCAGTAAGCCTCCCCTGACCATATTCTAGACCAATATAGTCTTTATAACCTCACCCTACATAGACCAAAAATTTACATGACCGTTGTATATGTTCTTGTGTTTTTTACAGATTTTTTATTACAGAAAACAGCGCAGATGGGGTATACATGTATTTTTGCCTAATAGCTATTACTGAAAATGTTTTGTTTCATAGACATTTGAACAAGTTTGTTCGCTACTACTTGACCTCTGAAAACAGATTAACCGCCAATTTTTGGACTTTATATGCACCCAACAACTGTGTAAATTTTAAGAGCCCAGGACACTTGTGACGGCAAATACTGTATCTCAATAATGACTGACTTATGAAAAGTATTTCCTCTATGGAGAGCCATCCTCTTTTCTAGTGTAAGGTTTTTAATGAGTGAGTGAGTATGGTTTTACTCCGCTTTTAGCAATATTCCAGCAATATCACGGCGGGGGACACCAGAATTGGGCTTCACACATTGTACCCATGTCGGGAATCGAACCCGGGTCTTCGGCATGACGAGTGAACGCTTTAACCACTAGGCTACCCGACCGCCCCTGTAAGGTTTTTTAACATGACGGATGAACAAGGATCACCCTGACCCAGCAGGGATCACAGGGTTTCACAAGGCAAGGCACAGAAATGGTATCTCAAATGTGTAATCTGGATAGAAAAACCTGTGAAGGTTGCAGGTAACAGACTGTAATGGCGACCAGTCTAAAAGTAAACTGGTTTATGAGCACAAACATAAAACTAGTAGCTGTATGCTGCTTTCATAACAGATAGTTGTAGTCTTAATGTTAAACCCCCTTCTAAGAAATAAGAAATTCACTGTCCATGAAACATAAATACCGGTAGTTTATCTTGGATGCACAAACCTATTTTGCTCATCATCTAACAGCTTCCGATGAAGGCTTATCACAGAAGGTATATAGGAAGAAATCCATTTTCTGTTACCATGTTTAACATGGAAATATTGTTCCTCCTTGAACCATCAGAAAATAGACTAAGTTTCTGTTTGATGAGACGCAGGGTTAGAATTGCTCCACAGCAACCTCTGCTGGTCGTAAGAGACGACCAAACAGATCAGATGGTCAGACTTGGGGATTGTGTGTCATCGTACCCAGGCTGTGGTAAATTATCGTCACAATATCGATCACTGGAATGTCTGGTCCAGATTCGATTGTATACAGGCCACCATGTGGGGTTAAACAACAAACAAAATCTTATACATGTACATGCAGCCTGCTGCTGTTGCTAGATGTCGATGATGACGAAGAGTTCATGTTGACCCTCCTTGTCGTGTATCTGCATGTTGGAGTATGTGATGGCCTTGACCTCTGTCCCCTGCAACAACAGGACAGACTCACAGTTTCCACACACATCATATCACCTTTAGCTGATTTCACTTCAACACTTCTTCTTCCTGCTGTTTGACATGCATGCCCCACACAGACACACTCTGACCAGTCCTGGCCTGTCCCCTAAATGACGAGTGCCAGACAGGGTTACAAAAAGTACCCCCTCTTAACATCTTTTGGTATGACATCCGGGAATTGAACTGTCTCTGGGCACATGCTCTATTTACTAGACCACAGAGGCAGTCTAATCAATAATGATACACTGAAGGATCAGTGCATTGTAATATATTGTGCCAAGTATAGTATCACATTGCCATGTATGAATGTATTGACAAGAGCACCGATGCATACCCCATGAAGATTCCGGGGTAGAATAGGTCTTCAGCAACCCATGCTTGCCCTAAAAGGTGACTATGCTTGTCGTAAAAGGCGACTAACGGGATCAGTGGTCAGGCTCGCTGACTTGGTTGATACATGTCATCGATCCCAATTGCGTGGGTCGATGCTCATGATATCAATCACTGGATTGTCTGGTCCAGATTTGATTATTTACAGACCGCCGTCATATAGCTGGAATATTGCTGAGTGCGGCGTTAAACAACAAACCAACCAACCAACCGATGCAAGTTTGTATGAGGGTGGGATCTGTGGCAGGTTAGAAGTTGTAGTATCAGTGAAAGTGAGGTGAGGTGAAATGGGGTTTAACGTCGCGTCAAAGATTATTGCATCTGTGTGTCTTTTGGTTTTTTAAACCAGTTGTTGTTTTAGCCCCGAACGCCAGACAAGGTAAAACAAATACCATCTTTTAACATCTTTTGGTATGACGAGGCCGGGGATCGAACCCCGGACCTTCCACTCTCAGGACGGACACTCGACCACGGAGGCGGTCAGCATCAATGAAGACACAGCTGACTGATGGCTTTCTACTTTATTCTTTCAGTGTAATGTTTTGGTACAGATGCAAGTTCCTTTATCAGTCTTCATCCACTTTGATAACAATCTCTGCTGCAGCGTTTAACAGCAGGAATATGTTAAGTGAGTGAGTGGCAATATCTCAACCACATGAACAAATATAAAAGCTGTCAACAATGGACAGTAAAAAATCACCACACATCAAAATTAAGATGTATTTTGGAAACTACAACTACTGCATTAGAAGGACCAACTACAACATGTACTTCATGCACATAGTCACATTATGACCTGTCACCATTGTAACACACCAAGGACCATCTTCCCGAGGCAAGAGAGTTAACTGACTATAAAGGTCCAGTTTCCACCCTTGCCGAACTAGGCTGGTATTACGGAGTTACATTTTGGCTGGACTAACAAGTCTATGCATAGTCTAGTCAAAATCGTGCAATGAAATCGAAATCTTGTTTGTAAACTGTCATGCAGATTCGATCGATCGTAGGATTTGCAAAGCACGTGCACCGCCAACTCGTCAACAGATATTTTCCCAATCTTTTCATGTTTTTAATCAAGATGCTGATGTGAGTTGATGCACTTCGCGATGTTAGACCCGTTTTATCACATTATAGATCTTGATTATCCATCAGATCGTATTGACTGGACACCGCCATTTTGTTTTAAACAAATGCAAGTGATATGAGAGGTGGAATCTGATTGGTCCATACGAGAGGCTTAGAAGGGACATGACTCGTAATAACACTGGTGGCGCTACGGTTGAGCCAAGGAATTCCAGCCTAGTTCGGAAACTGGACTTTTATAGTCAGTTAACTCGCTTGCCTTGGGAAGATGACCAAGGACATGATGTAGGAACTTACCTGGGGATGCTTAGATATATCGAATGATTCACCATAGCTGCAAAAAAATTAGAAACATGTATCTTGCTGTTGCAAAATGTGAAGCACAGTAGTAAAGATAAGGAATATATCATCTGAATGAATTTAGCATGTCAATCGTACTACATGTGACCATATCAATCGTACTACACGTGATCATAACAATCGTACTACACGTGACCATATCAATCGTACTACACGACAAAGGGAACACAGACAAATGTTCTGAGCAATTCTTGCTTCTGAATGTTATGCTTGGGATTACCCTATTCGACGTAATAAGCACCCAGGGCGCTCTCAAAATTAGAAAATAGGGGGCTCTTATTAGAATATTATTTTGGTGAAAAAGAAAACAGAGTTGAAAGATAAATTTCGTGGTTTATGCTGACAGCCTGAAATGTTTATGTACGACATATATATTTTTCCAGAATTTAATTACCCATGATTAAGGGTGCATATAACACAAGAGTGCATATTATACGCGAAAAAATAAGTCTTTTGTACGTTGATCAATCGGAAGGGGTGCTAATTGGGATTGTTCACTAGCCAATATCTTAGCAAATGTCGATGTGGGCGCTTATTAGAGCGGGGCGCTTATTACGTCGAATACGGTAGTACTGCTAACATGGTAGAAGAGACTCCTGCAGTGAATCACTACAAGTTCACCTACCCTTCAGCTTTGATCCTAAAGTTTTCTACATCAAACTCTGTAATTTTGACTACCTGAAAAATAAGACACAAAACAATAATTGAACATTCATGATAAAATAAATGTTATGATTGAACATGTTGAATGGTTATTTCTGTGGGGATTTCAGAGTAGCACATGTTCTCCGTACCCCAAGCATGGACAAGTTAGTAAGAGCTGGTGAAAGTGAGGATTGGGTGGTCACAGTGTGTGACCTGACTGATTGTGTTCTTATACACCAGTATTGTTGCTCATGCTATCTGTCACTGGTTTGCTTGATTTTTATAACTGTGAACCCATTCACTCATTCTGTTCAAGGTGTAACAGTTGCTGGACCTGATGCCTAACAGTACTTTACCTCAGATGGACATCGGTTTCATTTTGTTGATAGTCAGACTTTTAACCGATAGAAATGCTGAGCAAGGAGTGAGTGAGTATGGTTTTACGCCGCTTTTAGCAATATTCCAGCAATATCACGGTGGGGGACACCATAAATGGGCTTCACACATTGTACCCATTTCGGGAATCGAACCCAGGTCTTCAGTGTGATGAGAGAATGCTTTAACCACTAGGCTACCTGACCGCCCCGCTGAGCAAGGAATCACACATTTCATAATTTCATTATTAAAAAGCAAGTAGTAAGGATTGGTCCAACTTACAGTACCAATTACAATATCTTACAACAAAACAAAGCACAGTCAGCAAAATTTGTAATTGAAATTCTGGGCAGTGCATGTCTTTGCATCATACTTTCTGTATCATAGGGTAATGCTTTCAGGAGCTATAGTGACTTAGTCAAGCACCTTTCTTATCGCAACATTATATTGGCCAGATTGTATATACATGTATTCATCCAATCACGAATCATGACTTTTGCCATTGACTTATTACATTTCTTGAGTCCGAGTCACTGACCTATATATACAGCTTTTTGAGTCAAAATCACTGTACATGGAGCCTCCAACACAGACTATGTCATTGTATCGGCAGATTTGGGGACAATTTTGTATTGCAGAAGGCGACACTCGGGTTTCATGCATGTGATTTCCATTGTTTAATATATAACAATTGTATTTGTCGTTTTAAGCTGCACCCAACACTATTCCAGGTATATCACTTTGGGCCAGAGAAACCAGTGGTTGAAATCATGAGCATGTCCCATGCTGTCAGGGCACAATGACATGCACCAAGGCCACCAAGCCTGTGACCAAACTAGTGTGCGGGAATCTATTTTAACCCAAGTCCCACAGAAGTATTACAATTGTAACGACTAGTGAATTGAAAACATCTCACCCTCGGTATGATATACGGCTCAACAGAAAATAAGTACAGGAATTCGTCGAGAAAGTGGAATAAGAGTGACATCATATCTTCACCTGCAATAACCACACAAAATATACATTGCAGATTGAGAAACACTGTGACACACCATGGCACATACAATCCTGGAGTTGCAATGCATCAATCACAATGGAAACATTTGATACTGATATAGAAACACTGGCTACATAGTAGACACAACATACTTTGCATCAACATCTGAATTAAGAAACTAAGTCATAAACCACAGAATAGGGAAATCTATAGTTTTCAATGAGTTCAAAGATTAAATAATAAGATTCCACTCTGTTGAACATTTGTATGAACATTGTCTACGTTACTTCATATGGTCTATCATGGTTCTGTAGCTACGGCTGTATGCATTTTTACGTTACTTCATATGGTCTATCATGGTTCTGTAGCTACGGCTGTATGCATTTTTACGTTACTTCATATGGTCTATCATGGTTCTGTAGCTACGGCTGTATGCATTTTTACGTTACTTCATATGGTCTATCATGGTTCTGTAGCTACGGCTGTATGCATTTTTACGTTACTTCATATGGTCTATCATGGTTCTGTAGCTACGGCTGTATGCATTTTTACGTTACTTCATATGGTCTATCATGGTTCTGTAGCTACGGCTGTATGCATTTTTACATTACTTCATATGGTCTATCATGGTTCTGTAGCTACGGCTGTGTGCATTTTTACATTACTTCATATGGTCTATCATGGTTCTGTAGCTACGGCTGTATGCATTTTTACGTTACTTCATATGGTCTATCATGGTTCTGTAGCTACGGCTTTATGCATTTTTACATTACTTCATATGGTCTATCATGGTTCTGTAGCTACGGCTGTATGCATTTTTACGTTACTTCATATGGTCTATCATGGTTCTGTAGCTACGGCTGTATGCATTTTTACATTACTTCATATGGTCTATCATGGTTCTGTAGCTACGACTGTATGCATTTTTACATTACTTCATATGGTCTATCATGGTTCTGTAGCTACGGCTGTATGCATTTTTACATTACTTCATATGGTCTATCATGGTACTCGAGCTAAGGTTGTTTGTAGTTGTGGAATTGATTGATAATAGTCTTCTCAAAATGGGTTATCTCCCCTCACCTTCAGCCTCAATCTCGTGAACTGCCAGCATCTCTACAGTGTCATAATCTGTGGTCATGTAGTTGAACATTGCAGTGGCAATCTGGATAGGAGGTAAACAGAGTCAGGAAACACATTACACAGTTTTCTCATCACAAAAGTTGGTATGCTCAATGCTCATGGGGTTTGTTGGTGTTCTACTTGAATCTAGAGCCCTGAAAAATTTTAACATTAGGTTCATGACATGGGACCCTCTTGCACACCTAACTTCAAACACTGCATTGTCACAGTGAAAGTCACACTGTTGTCGTTAAAAATCTTCCAACAGAGTTTAGACTAATAATGGCCATCAAACAGTTTACCAGTTATCCTATGGTGGTACATCTTCCCGAGGCAAGGGAGTTAACTGACTGTAAAAGGCCAGTTTCTGACCTTGCCAAACTTTTGAAAACCAAATGTAGTATTTAGTAGGGAGTAAAATTATCTGCAAATCTGCCAGAGGATTTTGATGTTTTGGACCGCTCACTTTTTAAAATGCTGGATCTGCCCTTGCCAGCAAACCAAAATGGGAGGTTTTAAGTTGGGATTCAGAGGACAGATGCTGAAAACAACCTCCACGCAAATCAGGGGGGTTCACATTCGTGTGACAAAGAGGAGGAATTACCTGTTCAAATGCTTCTTGTAGATTATCGCCCCCTGTCGGTGTTAAGGATAGCACATACGGCAGTTAAACAAACATAGTATCCACTTCCAATCCAATACCTAAAATATGAGAAACTATAAACTGCACTAATAAATGACCATATTCATAGTATTAAGCACCAATTGCTCACCTTGACCAACTTCTAGAACAATCTATCAGTGATCTTTATAGACGCCCCCTACTAAGCCTAAAACTTTGCAACACTGTCCATATTTCTTTGTGTATATTACAGATTTTTTTACAGAAAACAGCAACATCTCTGATAACAAATTTAACTTACGTATGGTAAAAGAGCCCCCCTTGTCATTTTCGTAGCTCCTATGAAGCTTATTATGGCAAATACAATATATCTGGTCTGCATATTTTTCATAATACCCCAACTAAATATGTCAGTGCAAATGATCAAGTGTCCAGTTGTTTAGATATTTTTGTCTGTGTTTACACTCATATCTTATTCTAAAGAATCAGATGTTATTTTGTCCACCCAAAAAAAATTTAAAAGAGCTAAGTCAAAGAGTTCCCATCACAAACTGATTAGTTTTGGGAATTGTTACAGCCAAATCAGGCTCTGTGAGAAGGAAAATGTAAAACATTATTCCACATTTGTAAACAAAGTAAAAAGATAATAACAGGCCCTGCACATAATCATGCATGATAATGATGTTGTTTGTTTATTAGTTGTTTAACACCGCACTCAGCAATATTCCAGCTATATGAAGGTAATACAAATCATTTAACATTAAGGCAGGATTTTTCTCATTAATTGATATTTTGACAAAATAAATCTGTAAACTAACTAATCACTCAGCTATGTGTTTGCACTGCCTTACTCATTCTGCTTAATATGCATTATGAAGGATACATGTATGCAATCTGAAAATAAACAAAACATTGTCATTATCGTTAAATCTGTAAAATATATACAAATTCATCCAAATTAAGGAAATAACTTCTTAAATATGTTCCACAAAAAGTGTTTCAAAATAATCTACACAATCAGTATCATTATATTGTGTAGCACCATGAACAAATCATGAACCATGTTGTCATCCAAATTACCAGACAAATATTGAAGTTAGACCCTGCATTAATACTTGATTAAAATTTATTAACAGTGTCTATAGTCACTGTATGGAACTCACTGGACATCAGCCGTATGGTCCAAATCTGAAACAATCCAAAACTACTGTTAGAAAGTTTAACATGATTCACATAATGTCATTACAGGTACTAATACAGTTTACTAAAACAAAATATGCATACCGGTATACATGTATGTTATTAAACCAAAGTACAACATGATAAAGTACCACCAAAAAATCAATTTAGATTAAACACATTCTATGGCAAACTGCCAATCATCCTCTATATAGTCTGTGCTAGCATTTTGGTAAACCTACACTACCCCCTGGATCCATTCCTGTGGTTCTTGCAATCTGAAAATACCCGCCTTTGATTTTCATTAACATTCTACCTACCAATCAAACGTTGACACAAGGGAAAGGACCAAACTCGACCATAATGAATGGAACTGGCCAACCCAACACTGAGGCTGGTTTGTAACTTGCATTCTGATTGGTAGGTTAGATCTAGTCTAGCCAATCAAATTGGCAAATGGAGATTGCGAGAACTAAGTGAATGCTTTATTGTATATTGTATGTATACATGATAGTAAATGTATCAAATCACATTTATATTACCCTGCATGTAATCTATGATATGCATATGTAACTATATATGCAGGTTCGGTATGTTTGTGACATAGAATTAATTAAGTGTTGATGCAAAGTAAATGTAAGTTTATCTATTAACAGTTATAATATTTTGTATATGGTCCAAATCTTCTTGTTGTGTTGAGTGGGGTGAGGTTTGGGTCAGTCATTTCATCACAGAATACATCACAATCATTTTTACAAAAAATTATGAACGGCCCCTCATCAAACATAATATAATTCTTTAAAACTAAAATTTGTTGAGTGGTAGAAGTAAATAAACTTATAGCAAAGTTGTGGTCCATTAATACACGTTAAGATCACGAGAGTCAATACATATGGTTTGGTCAAATTTTCTGCAAGTGCCATAGGTTCTCATTTATATCATAATTTACCATGGGAAACATCATACAAAGACTTTGGGTATCTCACTGTCACGAGAATATTGAACAAGAGCGACTAAGAGACGATACGTAACATGATCGAAAAAGGGACAGCCTTGTCACATTGCACAACCTCGTGTAAGATTATAAACGATCATACGGCTAAACTGAGGTATCACTTTCCAGAAACAATACCAAAACTTCAGACAATTGATTGGTCGACAATACAGCATAAAACGAAGCTTACATTCATATTTAACTTCTGCAATTTCGGGGGCCTCTCCCTCTTGCAGTAGCCTTCCTACATTTTCGTCGTCCATCTTGAAACCGGAAACCGGAAACTGCATGTGCGTGGTGTATTCAAAAACTTGTCATTGAAGTATACTTTTTGTGTGATGTTTTCAACATACCCGTACATAATCACAAATATATAACTCATTTAACTGTCGATAGTCCGCCCGATAGTATTGTTGGATATAAAAAATTGTTTAACTCATCTCTATGTTTTGCTATTTATATTTTCGTATTGTGGTGATCCCGGAAGTTTTAGTTTTGTAAATAACTTTGTTCCCCGGCTACCAACGCTTGAAAATGGAGTGTATTTTGAACGACTCTTGTATCGACTTGGAGAATTATGATACATCGTCGATAATAAAGCTACAGGTATCTCACATAGTTCGTGAGAATAAGATCTATGTTAAACCTCATAAAGAGAGGTACAGGATGATGAGAGATAGTTGTGCAAAAATACAAAACATGTTGACACAAGTTAGGCCTACAACAAAAACAAGGTTGCTTTTCTTTGGTAATTGTAGGAAATATTGTAATTGCTGGTGTTGCAATGAAAGATATACAACATATTACATTTCAGTATATGTGCTTGTATTCCACTATTACTTTACCCTTACGGGCGCAGTTAACTTAATGTGAAAACAGCTTTGAAGTTTTAAGTACTCAATTTAAACTGAAACTGTATTTAAGAGGCCTAACATGGTGCTGTCAGATCACAATTATTCACAATGGCCTTTCGATGTGTTGCATGAGAGAAGAATGTCAGAAAACAACAACATGCTGTGATAACTGTGACCATGTAAATAAACCATATATATTACTACAAAAATCGTTCTTATCCTTATTAAAAATAGAGGTGCCGTTTTCGCCCGACACATAGTAGCCGTTTTCGCCAAATGCGGTGCCGTTTTCGCCAGAGAAATCGGTGACGTTTTGTTGGGGGGCCGTGTTAGCCTGCACCCGTTAGAATAGGTCCAAAACACATTTCCTTTTCCCGGGTGGTCAGTCTCTGAGTACTACTCTGAGTGGGGCTGGGACAGGTAAATCGGGTTCTCGGGTCGGGAGGGTACTGATTTGTACCAGGGTACCCACAGGACTACCTGGACCCATGGTTAATCATGTGATATGTTGTGTAATGACAAAAAGTATCTGGAACTCTATGGTTACACTATAAGTGACTAATGTTTGTATTCCTTCTGACTTCATATGTTTGCATAAAGATAGAACTTCAGTCAACTTCAGTTTATGCATGACCAAATCATTTTATATGTGTATGTCAATACATTTTGCCAGGGCTACGGTCAAACTATTCCCAGTCGGACATTTGGACCTATCTCTTGAGACCTACAGTGGGTACCCGGGTAGGGTCGGGTAATAGGGGATTGAGTACCCGGGTAGTAAATTTGGACTCTAACTTATAGTATCCAAATGACGTGGTACATTGCTCATAATATTAACCACTGGTTTGTCTGGCCAAGACTGGATAAGAATACCTTTTGTTCCCTCAACCTGTTTTCTTTTCATGATTTTACCTATCCACTCAACAGGTTTATATTAGAAAGCAAACAGTTCAGGGAACAAAAGTAACTCTTTCCAAGGAGATATATGAAAGAATTCTTTAAAGAACTATTCAGTATGATAATTTCCTGTTTACAACAATTGCCGTCTGCCCTTTGAAGATTGTTCTAGCCACGCATATTGTGATTCCAGGTTAGACACACTCTGATATTATTGATTGTTGGCATGCAGTTAACAATTCGTTTTCAAACTTCCCCAAATACCATGCATAAATATATAGTTGTAGTGTATTATTGCTAACTCCATCCTACATGATAAAACAGCATTCACTCCCTCTGATTTATTTCTTGACATCCACTTTCCCTTGTATGTAACCTAACATCTTTACATATTTTTGTTTCAGGCTCAATTTAGAGGTTATCTTGTCCGAAAACAAATGAAGAGTTTGAGAGACAGCTACCTTGGCCTTGTGAAGCATATTGAATCAAACAAGACCCCAACTGTCATATGGGAAAGAGACCGGCCTTCTCTTCCTAAATTTTTTAAGCATAAGAAATTGGTCAACTTTGACCACCCACATGATGCTTCATCCCCAGAATTCCACAGTAATCGAGTTATAATTAGAGATAGCCAGGGGGATATCACAGATAGAGTTTGTGATCTTGATACTAGAGTGAAGTCAGTTGAAATACCAACCAGTCATGAAGCTGATAAGCTTCCTCAACTACCTCATGGCACAGACATTTGTTTTTCACATAATGAAATGTACAACCTAAGTACAAATGGGACATGTTCAAACTTAAATAACCAAGACAATACATCACCAATGGCTTGTCTGTTAGTTGATCCACCAGTGCATGGATCAGCATCGGAACAACCAGTGAGATTGCACTCCCAGAGAACTGCACATGTGATGGATGGAGAGACTTCACATGTTGCCAGTGTTCCCCACCTCGGAGACCATGACGGTGAGAGTGACACCTCCTCACTCACTGAGGTCACATCAATCTGGGAAAGTCAACTGGACTCCAGAATGAAACCAGGTTAGACATGTTTCTCCTTGGAATTAATTTAACTGAAACCTAATTATTTATTCATAATTAAGAATGTCTTCTGTATAGTTTGACATGACATTTTAGGTGAAGTCATTATGTCTTCGTATCACATTTATCATGTTTATAATAGAGTCGACCCCCTGGCCTTAAATATCTGACAAATAGTTTGACTTATCCAGTGTTAGGCACATCCAGTGTTTGACACATTTGACTGATCTTATTACCGTCTGAGAAGTGAAACATTGGTTAAGACTAGTCCTTTTTTGGATTTCCCAGCCTTGTTTCTATCCGTTTCTACCCATTTCCTGTCTTGGATGTTTCATGCCATATCCTTGCTTAGGCCATTTATATAGTAGTTGATACAAGTTTTTGTGCTAAGTTGTGTTTTTAAAACTTTTGAGTTCCTCTTATCAGGCTATGTTTACACTTACCGTGTCTTTTATCTCTTGGGGACACTTCAACTTTCAATTCAAACCAATAAATTCCAATCTGTAAGTAGCAGTATTGTGACCAGGGATTTATCTGGACATGCTCAGAATCTAATAATCAGACCCACGTTTGCAGCAAATGTCAGTAAAAATTCCCAAATTGGAATAATAAATATCCCAATTCATGTAATCTTAAATAATGTTACAGCTTTTAAGAGGCTTTGTCGACTTGTATTACACTGCAGGAGCAATATAGAGGAAGAGGCTTAATGCTAAGTTTTACATTAATGCAGTGAATCAAATGTTAGAATACAATGGCAAAATAACTCTAAATCAAACAAATAAGAAATTTAAGGAAAATCCAGTTTTGAACAAATATCACTTTATTTCCCAACTTGCCTGTCCATGGAATGCATGAATACCCTTGGACCCCACTTTTGAAGACTGGGCCACCCCAAAATTATTCTTCAGGTACGCATGTATATCATGGTATATGTCCAGGTAAAACCATGGGTAATTATTATGTGTTAATGCTAGATGGATATACCTTAGAAACTTGAGTTAGAACATGTAGAAGGCAGACAAAGGGAATTCCTCCCAGGACTACCATTCTAGGACCCAAACTACAATAGTGAAATCAGTGAAACAGATCGACCCATGGACGTATGGTACTGGTGTATGATTATGTGCTGTTGTACACTTTCAACGTTTCAGAAAGGGAAGAAATTAAAGACATCAACTCCGCATCCATACTGGAGGTCAGGAAGAACATCGCCATGGAACTGCTCTGGGTGCAGCAAGCCATCAACTCTAGGAAAAATGTGAGATGAATAAAGATAATTCTGGGTTTCAGGCTCAGATGTATCAGAGAGCAATGATCATGATGATATATGTTGTTACTGTTCTGTCTTGATCATCATTGCATCTTTTATCTTGAAATTGCCACTACTCATGATATTGCATATTACATAGCTGTACTGAAATTGACATAGGTTGATTATACTTACATCATTGTAATTTTGAAATGAACATACTGCGACTTAAGTTGATGTCATTCATGATAGTAATTAGTTGAGAGGTAAATATGCATTATCAATGATGACAAGAATTAGGATAAACAATTGTTATCTTCTATGTTTTTTTATTTCAGTACCTGCGGTTGAAATCACAAATGGAATAACTTACTATAAGCTACAAGGACAAAAGATAGATCATGAAATATGTAAAATAGAAACCTCAATAAACATATATTACAAACATGAATCTTGTATGTGATGTTTTACACTCTTGGACACTGTACCTTCTTTTGACAAGATATCTATAGTCTCTCTTATGTAAGGTGTTGTCATAATGGAACACACAAGAAAGCTCTGCATTACGCTATGCAGTGTTTCATTCTACCCAGACTGTGGATCGTTGTTCATGCGGTCATCTACCATTTGTCTGGTCCATACTTGATGTCATGATGCTGTTTAGATGCCACCATTCACCCAACAACTCCGAGAATCTGATTGAACATGGCATGAATTCTGAATGAATGTCCTCATGATGACCAAATCTTTTGCATTTTTTTAGAGTATGGTAAAAACAGTATCATCCTTAAACAAGTATCCTAGCCAAAGGATTATCTCTTCCTTCATCATTAGTGTCATCATTAATGGTACAATAAAGCAATTCTACCTGAGAGATGATAATTTACCTCGAGTTTTCTTAAAATCATAAAAAGCAAGTAACATTTGATCATAGTTTCATGCACATAGCTTAGAGAGTTCAGATATAATTAAAGATATGTTTGATTAATCATGATGCTGTAGAAGATGGGTAATCCTTCTGGTTAAAGAGTTTTCTTATCTCCGGGAAGACCATGTTCAGTTCTCCAAGTGAGTAAATGTGTGAAGCCATTCTTGGTGCCACCTTTCATGATATTGTCAGAAACTCCAAACATCACCATTACATAACATTATACTCACTCAGCCAGGTGTCTACATGATGACATTTATGACTCAGGAGAAATCCCCCGTAATGATTCAGTGTTAGAAAGACCCCAGCAGCCGATGCTGGTCATAATTAAGATGCGACAATGGATTGGGTGGTCAGGCTCAGTGACTTGGTTGATTGTTTCAAAGCTGATTGTGTTTCATAGTACCCTGTCGCATGGATCATGGCTCACAATATCAATCACTGGATTGTCTGGTCCAGACTAGACTATTTACAGGCTCTTGTCATACAGCTGGCATTTTGCAGAGTGCGGTGATGAGCAACAAATGCACAGAAGAAATCAACAAACCGAATCAGAATAATGTGTCTTTTTGGAGCAGTTCAATGTAGCGTCACACATCAAAGTGACCATACCACTTGTATATCACTTGCTCTCGGTATGGATTCGATGACTGGACATGGCGGATAAATACGCAAATGGAAATAGTTTTTTACATTTTAGGATATATTGTTTGATAGGCATTACTTAGAAATTGACGGATGACAAGGTAGACACGTCTTGCTTGACAACAGTATAAGGATCTATACCGAAATGTCGATTTTACTGTATTCAAGAAGTTGTTATCCATAAAATTGTGTCTACCTTGTTTTAGGATATTTTCTGAATAAAAATTAAACATTTCATGACATATGTTTATCTTAATATGCAGACTCGTCCAAAATGAAACAGATGAAAAACACATGAAAGGACTGTGTGAGATATGATGATGTGACAGAGGTACTCGGCTGGCCACAAGGAACTCTGGGTAGGAGAGTGATTGGCTTTATACGACTGAGGCATATTTGGATTGTAAGCTAGTGTTGATAATCACTTGCTTCTAATCTTATCAACCTGGCAATCTGTATTTTTGAATTTATTACCAGGCAGCAGAAAGTTTGTAGACTGTGTCTCACAACATTCACTCAATCACTTTTCAGGGATAGAGTACTTTTATCCTCTCTGAAGACATATGGGTCATTTTCAGAATTTGTCAGATTGTCAAGACACATTTGACACACAAAAAAACAAGCTTGAAAATATTCAGTTTTATTGTGAAGGAAACCAGAAACATTGTTTAATTGTTGTAAAAATACTCAAGTGTCAGCTTATTCTTAAACAGTAATCAGTTTAATTAGTCATAACCAATTATCAATGATTAAATATGTCAACATGGCCATGGTAATGCAATTATGACGGGAAACAAAAATTTCACGTGAAGGATAACTTTCTTAACTTTAAACCAACTAAACATACAGAAAACAAGGACTTGATACATTTCAAAAACAATATTCATCTGAAAACTAATATTTTAAGTGTTTTATTTTTGCAATTTATTCTCATATAGATCTATCCCTTTTTCTTTTTTTATCGGAAATGTTTTTTTTGTTAAGTTATTTCAGTAATTTTATTAACTGTTATTCATAAGAGTTTTGATAAAAATTGATATGCATTCAGGTATTACACAGATCTCTACATGTATATAGGAATAAAAAAAAAAGGTGCAATACCGACATTTGTGGTTACAGCCTGGACATTTTAAAATATCATCCACCTAATTCAGGGAATGAAAAGTTTTATAAGGATTGTAAATGAAAAGTTCACATTTTACAATGTGTTTTAGTGGTATTCTTTAAGTAAACAAATATTAAACCAGGCCTATTTAATCATTTGTTTTAGAGACCCGCCAATGACTTTTAGCCTTTTTAAATAAAATATAGACTCTACATTAATTTCACTGTGGCTTTATTTTAATTCTCTAGTATGGTTCAAATATGGAAATAAAAAGTAAATGCAACAAGATGCCAAATTGTCAGTTTTTATATATGTTTAATTTATAATAATATTCAATCCGTCGCCCTTCTGCTATATCCTAGAACTTTTTGTTTTCGTTTCTTAATTTTGCGGCAAATAGCCTACTCCAATTCTTTTAGCGGATGAGCACTAAGAATTACCTCCCTTCCACAAGTTGGCGGTGGAAACAAGTTTTGCCGAGAGACAATATAGTGTATGCAGTGTATAGATCCTTTTTATCGGGCCTTTATCTATGTTGTGACGCGTTGTATTGTTGTATTGTCGTAATCACTGTAACAGTCTAAACAACTGCAGGTATTACTTTTCTCCATATTTTGAATGCACGGGTAATTTTGTCCTGTTTTCGATCATGACATTACTGTAATTACTGTGTCAAATCATGTATGCTATATCGTACCCAATGGGTGTTTCACAAGCTGGCATGTCACTTTGGCAATATTTCGTTTAGATATTGTTTGATTATAGATATTTACAATAATTAGAAAGCTAAGATACAAGCATAAGTGTTTTCTATGCATTCATTCGTTCCATCAACTCTCATTCATAGCACATGAAAATAATTAGTCCACATACTCCACATGCCGGAAAGCTTCATATATGAACATGAGTTCGAATCCCAGATTCGCTGCTTCTCTTGTACATTTTGTATAAAAAATATTTGATAATTCTGTTGAGGCATAACGATGATATAGAAAATAGAATTACTGGACGTTTTAGTTGTGACAAGTGTCAGTTCAGCAGCTACATGATATGCAGTCAATGAGCAGTGTACTTTCATATACTAAACATAGCTAGGTTGTCTAATAGTCAGTAAGCTTGTTTTTATTTCATATTTCAGAGTGAGAATGTCACAAAATCAGCCACATTTTGCTGTGGTAGAGCAGGCAATCAACACAGTAAAACAGATTCAGCAGTACATCAATGTTGGCATGGAAACTACAATAGATGTTGCCATGGATGTTGTAGAGAATGATAAAGGTAACCGTGATCAGGCCTCTCTGTGAGTAATGTGTGAAAAACACCATACAATTATCTCCATTTTTCTCATGTTCTTGCCGCGTATAGCTGCAAGATTGCTGACTGACTGACTCATGTTCTCATGTTATTTCTGAAATATTCTGTGTACAAAGTTAACTGTGCAAAAAACTTTGATTTGTGTGAAGCTATGAACTAATACGTGTGTTTCTGTCCATGGAAAAAAAATAAGCATATTTCTGTTATAACGCGACGACAGAGAATCAAAACAGTGGAAATAGAAATTTTGGGTCGACCAACTGTACCAAGTTATCGGCTTCATCTAAACAGCATGTGCCATATCATCACACTCACCGCTCAGTTATACAAATTACATTTTCTATTTTCTCTGGTATTGCACTCAATTTTTATAATCATTACAATTAATAAGAAATGCTTTTATCAATTTGTCGTTGGCAAACTTTCGTACACAATATTTCTACATTCGATTTACACATGCTTATCCTCAACACTATGTACTATGGATTTAACGATGTGTACAGGGTTATGCATTTCTGGAAAAATAGCTCAATTAGGTTTTATGATTGTAATTTGTGTAAGAAATGACAGGCATATTAAGCCATTACAGACCTGAACGTGCATCATCGTGTTTTTGAATTTTTCTTGACGCATGAATTTATCACGAGACACCACCTGCGTGTCTCTTCTAAAGATGAATTTGAGCAAGGTGATTTTATTGCATTTTTTAATAGTTCCTCACAAGAAACAGTTTTGTTCATCATTTTTGGAAAAATATTTCTTTCTTCTAATGAAAACGAGCAAAAGTAAAATGAGATGTGATCACGAGTGCCCTATAACGGAGAGTTGTGATAATTGGTCCTCGTCAATAACTTGTCGCTAGCCAGTATGTTATTTGTTGAATTGCACACCAAAGACCAAATAGCTGAAAACATTAATTGATGAAATCAGAATACAGGATAGTTTCGCTACTTTCGCACTATTTACTGCATCAATTATAGGGATGTGCGGTTTTTATCGGTGTACCAGTATATTGCAATACAAATTCATCACGATACGTTTTTGGCGTATCGGTTTTTCCCTCATTTTTCAAACTGTGACTGACATGTATATGCCATGATGTATAGTCTTACCTTATTAAATCAAAACAAAGACAAAACAAATGCTTCACACTCTTTATTTGATTGTAGATAAAAATAATAGTACAATTTATCAAAATTGGTTCATAATTTTGACCAAATTGTTAACATTGCAGCTTTCATATTAATATTTGTCAAAGGGATATGAAAAAAGCTTTTCTCTTGGTAGAAATTATTTCCCAATATATTGCAATAATATTGCAATATGTTTTTGAAATATTGCAATATATCGCAATACACTTTTTGATCCAATTCCCAACCCTAATCAATTATGAGATACCTAGCACTTGGAAAAGAATGCCTAAAAGGTAATTGGGAAGCTCTTACTGACACACCTTGCTTCAGATACAAAAATAAGATACATTATCATAACTATCAATGCAAAAAATCTTGAAGAAGGTTGTATATTTTGACTATCTAATAGTATCTAAATAAACATTTTCATGAACATTATGTAAGGGTACACTCCTAATTTCATTTGGTCTTTGACCAGCGGACTAGTGACTAGCAGTCTTTGACCAGCAGACTAGTGACTAGCACTCATTGACCAGCAGACTAGCGACTAGCAGTCTTTGACCAGCAGACTAGTGACTAGCATTCTTTGACCAGCAGACTCACTACTAGAAGTCTTTGACCAGCCGACTAGTGACCATGTCTGACTCTGCGTATTATCATGCTTTGTTTCTGTGAGAAAGTTGTGTTTGCCGTCCCCAGAGAACCAGAAGCAGGTGGACGAGCTGAAATCTGTGATGCTGGACTATGTGTGTATGGAGCGAGACCTGGAGCAGTTCTTGGCTGCTGTCGACCACACCAAGAATAAGGTCAGCACTCCTATCTTCTCATGCTTCAGACTGGCATAATAGTTGGTGAATGATGTAATAGGTAACTTGTAAACGAAGGTGCTAGATGCAGGAGTCTAAAGTAAAGTACTCATTATTGATGAGGAAATCCTCGATTATCCAGTGTAAGTTTCAATAACCTGCAACATGAGTTCTATAGATCTTTGTGTGTAGGCCCTGGAGAGTGGTGAGGTGAGCAGTCTGGAGCGGGACTTGGACCTGAAGCTGAAGGAACTGCAGGTCGAGAACAGGAAGTCAAACCTGAAGCAGCATGAGAAGTACACCGACCTGGAGCAGAAGATACAGGAGCTCAAGAACCCAGGTCCTAGAAAATCCCAGTCTTCTCATCACAACATCCCTGCAACCTCAGTTAACAACATCCTGCAACATTTCATGACAACATCCCTGCAACCTCTTATTACTAAATCCCGCAACATCTCATCCCACCACAACATTCACCAACATCGCATTAAGATATTCTATGCCTCATCACAACATCCAATAACACCTCATCACAACATCCCATAACACCACATCACAACATCCCACAACACCACATCACAACATCCCATAACACCTCATCACAACATCCCATAACACCTCATCACAACATCCCATTACACCTCATCACAACATCCCATAACACCATATCACAACATCCCATAACACCACATCACAACATCCCATAACACCACATCACAACATTCCATAACACCACATCACAACATCCCATAACACCACATCACAACATCCCATAACACCACATCACAACATCCCATAACACCACATCACAACATCCAACAACACCTCATCACAACATCCCATAACACCTCATCACAACATCCCATAACACCACATCACAACATCCCATAACACCACATCACAACATCCCATAACACCTCATCACAACATGCCATAACACCACATCACAACATCCCATAACACTTCCTCACAACATCCCATAACACCTAATCCCAACATCCCATAACACCTCATCACAACATCCCATAACACCTCATCCCAACATCCCATAACACCACATCACAACATCCCATAACACCACATCACAACATCCCATAACACCACATCACAACATCCCATAACACCACATCACAACATCCCATAACACCTCATCACAACATCCCATAACACCACATTACAACATCCCATAACACCACATCACAACATGCCATAACACCACATCACAACATCCAACAACACCTCATCACAACATCCCATAACACCTCATCACAACATCCCATAACACCACATCACAACATCCCATAACACCACATCACAACATCCCATAACACCTCATCACAACATGCAATAACACCACATCACAACATCCCATAACACTTCCTCACAACATCCCATAACACCTAATCCCAACATCCCATAACACCTCATCACAACATCCCATAACACCTCATCCCAACATCCCATAACACCACATCACAACATCCCATAACACCACATCACAACATCCCATAACACCACATCACAACATCCCACAACGCCACATCACAACATCCCACAACACCTCACCCGTAAAGATCCAGGTTTGAATAGGTCTTCAGCAATCCATGCTTGCCGTGAAAGGCGACTATGCTTGTCGTAAGAGGTGACTAACAGGATCAGGTGGTCAGGCTCGCTGACTTTGTTGATGCATGTCATCCATCCAAAATGCATGGATCGATGCTCATGATATCAATCACTGGATTGTCTGGTCCAGACTTGATTATTTACCGACCGCCGTCTTATAGCTGGAATATTGTTGAGTGTGTAAAACAACAAACCAAACCAAAACCAACACCAACAACACCTCATCACAACATCCCATGACACCACATCACAACATCCCATAACACTTCATCACAACATCCCATAACACTTCATCACAACATCAACCAACCAACATCATACATTTCAGAACATCTCACCACATTTCACAAGACATCAGAACACCCCACCACAACATCCCATTGCAACACCTCATCATATCTCATCACAAGGCCCTGCTGCAACACCTTATCCCAACATCCCACAACATATCCTCACAATATCTCATCTTAATATCACATATCAGCACCATACCCGTACTCATGGGTTTAATCAAAGTGGTAAATGCCTAAGACCTGTATTTAAACCTAGTCAGGAATGATGGTTGCTCTCAATGTGAGGCCATGGGTTTGCTATTGCTTGTTGCAGATGTTGCTGGTGAGCCACAGCTATCGATGCCGTCAACATCTGCTGAGGATGATGAGATCTGTATGACAGAGGAGACAGTCAACACCATGTGTCCCTACACACGGCAGGAAATGAAGTTCCCCATGCAGAACAAGCTGTGTAAACATAACTATGAGAAGGAGGCCATCCTTGAATACATCAGTCGCCGCGGCAAGAAGGCCAAGTAAGTTGTTGAGGAATAGGTCAGTTTCTGTGGCAAGAAGGCCAAGTAAGTTGTTGAGGAATAGGTCAGATTCCGTGGCAAGAAGGCCAAGTAAGTTGTCGAGGAATACATAAGTTGTCTTAACAAGAAGGCCAAGTAAGTTGTTGAGGAATAGGTCAGTTTCTGTGGCAAGGTCAAGTAAGTTGTCGAGGAATACATCAGTCACTGCGGCAAGAAGGCCAAGTAAGTTGTTGAGGAATACATAAGCTGTCTTAACAAGAGGGCCAAGTAAGTTGTTGAGGAATGGGTCAGTTTCTGTGGTAAAGTCAAGTAAGTTGTTGAGGAATACATCTGTCACCGCAACAAGAAGACCAAGTAGGTTGTTGAGGAATACATCAGTCACCGCGGCAAGAAGGCCAAGTAAGTTGTTGAGGAATACATAAGCTGTCTTAACAAGAAGGCCAAGTAAGTTGTTGAGGAATGGGTCAGTTTCTGTGGTAAGGTCAAGTAAGTTGTTGAGGAATACCTAAGTTGTCTAAACAAGAAGGCCAAGTAAGTTGTTGAGAAATAGGTCAGTTTCTGTGGCAAGGTCAAGTAAGTTGTCGAGGAATACCTAAGTTGTCTTTACAAGAAGGCCAATTAAGTTGTTGAGGAATAGGTCAGTTTCTGTGGCAAGGTCAAGTAAGTTGTTGAGGAATACCTAAGTTTTCTTAACAAGAAGGCCAAGTAAGTTGTTGAGGAATAGGTCAGGTGCCGCGTCAACAGGCCAAGAAAGATGTTTGGGGATACATCATTCACACTGGTATGAAGGCCAATTTTGTTGAGGGAGTTCACAACATTGCAAGTTTTCAAAGATGCTTGTTTATGGAAAGCAAGACAGGCAATGAAAGTTGGTAAAGCAGTGTCTTCAATCAAGGGAACTAGTGGGCTCCTTGAGGTTTGCTGCAATAATAATAGTAAGTATCAGTACACCACAAACCAACTCATTCCTGAGAGACCCCAGGACGTTAAGTTTTAATCTTCATATGTATTTGACTAGTGTTTTGGATGTTGCAGGTGCCCAGTGTCGGGGTGTGCCAACAATAAGCCCATAGAGCAGTCCGACCTCGAGGACCACAAGACGTTGAGGCGATACATTGAGCGGGCCAACAGACAGGCAGGGAAGAGGACGAAACACTAACACAACACGTGTTATGTTACTTGACACAAGACTGGTTGTAAATCTTGTGGAATGCGCTTCAAAATGTGCCCCATCTTCCTGAGGGAAGGGAGTTAACTGACTTTAAAAGTCCAGTTTTCATTCTTGTCAAACTAGGTTTGAATTCCAGGGCTCGATCGTAGCGCCACCATTGGTAATTATGAGTTATGTCCCTTCTAAGCCTCTCCTATAGACCAGTCAGATTCCACCTTTCGTATCACTTGCATTTGTTTAAAACAAAATGGCGGCGCCCATCAATAATCAAATTCTATATTGTGATAAAACAGGTCTTACGTCGCAAAGTGCATCAGATCTCGTGAGCACCTTGATCAAAAACATAAAAAGACTTGGAAAATATCTGTTGACGATTTGGCGGTGCACATGCTTTGCAAATTATGCAATTGACCAAAATCTGCACAACAGTTTACCAACCGGATTTTGATTTTGTTGCACAATTTTGATTGGACTATGCATAGACTTGTTAGGCCAGCCAAAATGTAACTCAATAATACCAGCCTTGTCCCGCAAGGGTGGAAACTGGACTATTATAGTCAGTTAACTTTCTTGCCTCGGGAAGGTAATGTGCCCACAATCATCCAGGCATTTTGACCATAGAATGCTATGTCAGTTGCCAGATTTACATTCCTCTGTAAAGTTTAATAAAAACTTTGAAACAATACAAATACTTCAAATACACGCAGATGATGTCCTGCTCAACAGCAGACTAACGTTTAGTCCGAGGAATAAACTTAATATATTTTAAAATAAACAATTATCGACAAAATAATAAGTAAAATCAAAATGGAACCCAGAACAAGGGTAAACTCCTAGAGCTGAGGACATCTAGACTTAAGTTGAATTCAATATAAATGTATTTTCTAGGGTGTGGGAATGTATTTTCTAGGGTGTGGGATGTATTTTCTAAGGTGTGGGAATGTATTTTCTAGGGTGTGGGAATGTATTTTCTAGGGTGTGGGAGACATTAAGAGTTGTAAGGTCATGTATCTGACTGACACAGTACGTTTCCCATTTCTGACATGAAGGTCAATGGTGGGAGAGCATTTATTTGATTTCTAGGGGGATGGGTGGAGGTAAATGAACAGTTTGTACAGAAGTATGCCGAAAATGAATAGTTTGTTGACAGTGGTGAAAAACACAAACTTTTGTGGAAAGGACCCAAAAGTCAAATGTTTTGTGTTAAAAGTGGAAATGAATAGATTGTTTAATGGAGCTCAGTTAAAAATTAGTTTGTTGGATATAGCTGTGAAAAAATAGATTGTTCTGAATAAGATCTCTCTTTTGGTCCCCCACCTCCATGGATTGATGCTCATGATGTCAATCACTGGATTCTCTTTTCCAGACTCGATTATTTTACAGACCGCCGTCATATAGCTGGAATATTGCTGAGTGCGGCGTTAAACAACAAACAAACAAACAAACTTCAGCTTGACGAACCACAATGTGTCACCTATTATATGTTTGAGGTACCAAGAAACATACACAGGTTAAACCAGGATTCGGGGCGGTCGGGTAGCCCAGCGGTTGAAGCGTTCGCTTGTCATCCCGAAGACCCGGGTTCGATTCCTGATATGCCATGCCATGATATTGCTAAAAGCAGCAGAAAACCATAATAACTAACTAACGAACGAACGAACGAAAGAACGAACGAACGATTCAACCCAGGATCGTAGGTTTCTTGCATGTATAAGGGAACTGCAATGGATTCCAGCGACTTAAATGTGTGGGCCAGCATTATGCTGTTTGTACTATGTTTGCTGTATCTTTTCTAACATGTTTGGCATTACATCTTTCAAAATTAAGTCTTAACAAAACCATTTGGTTCTGGAGCTATAACTCTGCACCCAGTTATCCCAAAGTTGTCATAGAAGGATGGGTGCAAATTTCTTGAAAACATATATCCTATACAGAATTTTTATTTTACTTCTTTTATTATGTGTGACGTTGCCCAAAGTGAACATGATCTACAGCATGTGATTGGCTTACAGCTAATCCCTTCTTCCTTGAACTTGTTTACATCCTGCTCTGTTATTTACTGAGAACCACAACCCATGACCTAAATGCAAATGCAAAGACATAATTGCATCCGTGATATGGACCACTTCAGCCTTTCAGTGTATTCACAAAAGAAACGACGTAACAAAAAGTTATGTAGCCCCCATATAAATCAGTCCAGGACCTTTTCAGAATTTCACCTTGACCTCTTTTGCAAATGTGACGCAGATGATGTATCCGGACTGATGCTAGCTTGCTTGTCCACGCCTTGATTTTACAATCTTCAAAAATATAGGAGAGAAAAAACAATCAGTGAACCCTTTTTCTCGGAGCCCTTATTTAATTGTTTGTTTGTTGTTTAACACCGCATTTTGATATCACTGCCATTTTATATGCAGTGTTCCACTTTAGGGGGATCCTGGGGTCATCTAGGTCCCATGTTTGCTGTCACAGTACTTGAATCATGGGTACTCAGTTGTTAACTTAAAACATTCGTGTTATGAGAAGGACCCTTGATCATGTTGATGCATAAGTTTGACATTCATAAACACGTGCAGCATACAACTATACAAGTTGTCCAATGACAAGTTTTGTTTGTTTGTTGGTTGTTTAACGCCACACTCAGCAATATTCCAGCTATATGACGGCGGTATGTAAATAATCGAGTCTGTACCAAACAATCCAGTAACTGACATCATGAGCATCGATCTACGCAATCGGGATATGATGACATGCATCAACAAAGTCAGCGAGCCTGACCACCCGATCCCGTTAGTCGCCTCGATAAGCATAGTCGCCTTTTAAAGCAAGCATGGATTGCGGAAGACCTATTCTACGCCTGATCTTCACGCGTCCCTTTTTGAATTAGATCACTTCCTTTGTAGCCAGCTGTCGATTGAGGCATGGCCCTTATTCCTTTCGTACACGTGAAGATAACGGACGGCTTACACTTACAGTTTAGCAAACGTTGTGGTATTCAAATGTAATGGGGTGGCCCAGTCGTCTAAGGCGCCGCGATTCACTGTGCAGAGTTGCGCCAGAAACCTACGATTGTGGGTTCGCCCCGATTATGTTGCTAGGTTTGTCAGCACCATACCCGTGCTCGCTCGCTCACTCACTCACTCAAATGTAATCGGGAGAAAGTACAGACCGGACCACGAACAGAAGTTAACGATGCTCACGAGTCCAAATTTACTACCCGGGTACCCAACCCCCTATTACCCGACCCTACCCGGGTACCCGCAATAGGTCTCAAGAGATATGTACAAAATGTCCGATTGGGAATAGTTTGACCGTAGGCCCTGGCAAAATGTATTTAGATACACGTTTTAAAAGATCTGGTCATGCATACACTGACGTTGACTGAAGTTTTACCTTTATTCAAACATATAAGTCGGGTGGAATGCGTGCATGGTCAGAAAGAAATGGGAACATTAGTGACTTGTAGTGTAACCATGGACTTCTAGATAATTCTTGTCTTTAAACAATATATCACACGACTAATCACGGGTAATGATTTATTATATTCAAGGACCAATGTTGTTTAACGTTTGTAACCTTGACATTGGTCCTTGAATATAATAAATCAACTGGTAACATTGAATTACAAGTTGTTACAGAGCTAGTAGGGCTGGGACGGGTAACTCGGGTACTCGGGTCGGGTGGGTTCTCAGTAGGACCCGGGTACCCACTACCCGGACCCGTGATTAGTCGTGTGATTTTGACATGTGATGAGTTGGTATGCGCGCTATTTCAAATGCACTGACAGTAAAGCTTATTTCCCTCCATGTTTATTTATTCACTTATTTGTTTCCATCAGTATACATCCAGTCTTTCGTCAAGGTTGGATTCTGCCCTCGCGAACAACAGTCCATCTGGTACAGTGCGTAGTACATGATGACAGATGTGATCTATTAAAACCCAACACATGATTGTCAACACCTAGAGAGTAAATTTTATTCGATAAACGTTCCGAAAAAAACCAGGGCAAAACACCAGAATGCGTGACAAAAGAGGCCAGTTACCTTCAACATTTTCAATATTAGGGTAATTTGTTGGGATGGGGGAGGCAGGGGATATGTCTCAAGACTTATGGAATTAAGCTTTTTATCCGACATTTAATTTTTGAACGATTCAGTGCGGAACAGTGAGAAATGGGGATCATTCGTGACGAATGAAATGGTTATATCACCGTTCGCTGGTTCTCGCGGTCACTCGGAAATACACGAAAACAGAATCGGGAGAGTGCCGGGAATCAGCGAAAACAACCGAATTTTTATTCGATGGTGTTATGTCCCTTTGTTTTATTCTCTTACAGCTCGTGACGTCACCGTTATATCCACATCATCTAAAACAGAAACAACATCACTCTTTTCTGTGGTTAGCTTTCATTTACTACTAAGTTTCGTCAACTGTTCAGTGTGGTCTGCTCAAAGTAGCTTCTCCAAATCAGGAACAATCTATGTTGGGTATGGTCTAAGTTGGAAATTGTCATGTGAGGAAATGTCCTACACTTAAAAAAAAGATGCAATCTTTTGGACACACCCATCAGAGGGTGGTACATACAGCAGGTTATATATTTAGGTGCATAAGAATTTGCTCTAAATAACCCGTATAAGTACTGATGTCAAGGTGCATGATATTTACAGCTGATTCTAAGGTTAATATGAGTGTATTCATACTTCCACGTGCGTACCATCAGAGGGTGGTATATACTGGGTATAAGGTTGATATGAGTGTATTCATACTTCCATGTACGTACCATCAGAGGGTGGTATATACTGGGTATAAGGTTGATATGAGTGTATCCATTGTTCGACATACGTACCATCAGAGGGTGGTATATACTGGGTATAAGGTTGATATGTGTGTATTCAAACTTCCATGTACGTACCATCAGAGGGTGGTATATGCTGGTTATAAGGTTGATATGGATGTATTCATACTTCCACGTACGTACCATCAGAGGGTGGTATATGCAGCTTGTTATAAGGTTGATATGTGTGTATCCATACTTCCACGTACGTACCATCAGAGGGTGGTATATACTGGGTATAAGGTTGATATGTGTGTATTCATACTTCCACGTACTTTCCATCAGAGGGTGGTATATACTGGTTATAAGGTTGATATGAGTGTATTCATAGTTCCACGTACGTACCATCAGAGGGTGGTATATACTGGTTATAAGGTTGATATGAGTGTAGTTATAGTTCCACGTGCGTAGAATTAGAGGATG